TTAAGCCAATACAAGAATAATAATAATAATAATAGAAAATTTTATGAAAGAGAATAAGATCATTCTTAAATAATATGGTGATCTTATTTATAGGCTCTTTTTGAAAATATTTTAAATAATAAATTGTATTGGTTTAATTGTATATTATTACCATAATATGCATTGATATAAGAAATATTTTTGTTATATAATAAATATGAATTTGGGAATTCGGAATGATACATAAACCCTCAATGCTTAAAAGTTTAACTTTAGTGTAGATTAATAAATTCATTAAGTAAGTCTCATCTATAGTAACTTATAAGACTTTTTCAATTATTTTGATCTCTATTATAAGTGTGACCAAGTGGATTCAACGAATATAAGTTTTTCTTGACAAATGTACAATTCTTATTGACAATTTATAAAATATCATTAAAATCGACGTGAGTTTTATTTAGAACAAGGTGTATGCTTGATTCTATAAGCAAGGTATGCTCAATTTAGAGTTATACCCAAATATGCTTAATTTAGAATTATTACCAAACTATTTGAAGTAAAACATATTTTTGAACTATATAAGAATGGTCAAATTCATGGAGATATGATTTTTTTTATAATAACATGAAACTTAATGATTTTCTATATTTGTGATTTGGGGATATTAAATATTATGACGTATTATTGTTATGACATAATGATATACCCAAATGATGTTCTCCAATAATTGTTATGACATAATATTACGCTCATATGACATTCTTGATTAATTATTATGACATAATGACATACTCAAATTCATGTTCACTTGGATGAATATATCTTGAACAAAATCCAACTTGATATGATTTGAATATATAATTAGAATGAATATAACTCAGATAAAATCTAATTCGATTTTAACGTATTGTGATAGTTACGTCTAATATTGTGATAACTACTTTAGTGATGACGTGTTGCGATGACTACATCTAATGTGTTAAAATAATATTTAGCAAGTTTGATTACCTATGTCTTGTTTAGCTTTGGGGCTAAAATAATATTTGGCAAGTTTCATTACATTTGCCTTGTTTAGCTTTGGGTTAAAATATTATTTGGCAAGTTTCACTACTTCTACCTTGTTTAGCTAGTGATTAAATTTTTAATTGGCGAGTTTCATTGCCTTTTCCATGTTTAGCTTGGAGCTAAAATAATATTTGACAATTTTTATTACCTCAACCATGTTTAGTTTGTGACTAAATTGATAATTTACGAACTTCATTATCTCTACCATGTTTAGCTCGGAGCCAAAATAATATTTAACGAATTTCATTACCTCTGTAATGTTTAGTTCGGGGCTAATTGTAACAATAAATGTTTTGGTGAGCTACAATGACTACACCTTTTCACATTAGTTTTGTGCTAAGAGGATATATTTGGCTATGTATGAATTTATCTTTCTAGTATAGTTACTTGACACACTGTATGAAAATCATTTTCTTGAATAGCTCTAGCTCTTGTAGTTTATATATCTCATTCTGTAAAGAGTTAATTATATAAATAATGTATGAATTTACCTTGTTGGTATGGTTACTAACGCCCTTCTATGTACGAGAATCATTTTCTTGAATAACTCTTCTAGCTTATATGCCTCATTCTATAAAGAGTTAATTATATGAATCATATATGAATTTACCTCTTGGTATGGTTAGTGACATACTTCTATGTTTGAGGATCATTTGCTTTGAAACTAATAGGGTCCTCTTGCTTTTCTTTAGAGTCAAATATTTTGTATTGCATGAAATATTTTTCACAATATTTATATCATATTAAAAAAAAATCAAACAAATATTTATATCATATTTGATTATATAAGATAATATTAAAATTATATTAATAATATTTTTAAATTTGTAATATTAATATCTCATGATGACAAATTGGAAATAATTTGTAATGCTTAATATATTTGGCATATAAATTTGTAATGACAAATTCAATAATACAATAATTGATAATAATGTATATCATAAAGAAATGATTTTTTTCTTAATAAATATATTTTTTCACATAAAATGAAATTAATGATATTCATGAATCATGCCATCAGAGTTTGCATGTCTAATGAAATAATAATATAAAATCAATAACATTTATTTAGAGAAAAATATATTATTATATGCTCATACATCTCATATTGTCATTTAAATTCACATTTTATGTGTCGAGTATAATAATGAAGAGTGAAAAATATGTATCTTGAGAAAATTGAAAAAATATCTTATATTTATGAGTTTCATTGCATATGATGCACAATAATAATAATATTGTATGAGTAGTTTAAAAAAATTATCTCAACTAATATATTTGCATAATGATTTAAAAGAAAATATTTATGATATAATGTTTCATATAACATTATGAAACAACATAATAATAATAATATGAGTTGTAAGACCATATATCTTATTTTTAAATCACAAAATTTGTACGAGTGATTGAATAAAAAATGGAAATTTCTTCCTTTAATAGTGAATAGCTTGGGAATATGCCTTTGAGGACTTTATAAAGTTTTATAATTTTTTGTTAATTAACAAGCATCACAAATATCATGTTTTGTCAATTGTTAAATTTCAACTTAACACTAATTAATATTAGACAAAGTGATCAATAAGTCATATCTGTCTATTGAGACAGGTGATGTAGAAATTTATCTTATATCTTCTTTAGATAAGAACCATTATGGAACCTTAATTAAAAATATACTTATTATTACCATAGGTGAAACAAAGAACTATGATACCTTAACAAAAATTTGGGTTATATTAAAATAATAGTAAACAGAACATGGCAAAATATTGTATTTTGAAGTTTATTGTGTAATCCTATTTATAACAATTAAAAAAAATCAATTATTATTATTATTATGATCAAGTAAATTTGACTTTTTTATTTGGATGAATAAATGTACTAATGTATAATGATGTGTAGATATCATATAAATAAATTAAGAAATATATATTTTGTAAATGCTCACCTGAGACATATTAAAATCAACTTTCATATAGTTTATTCTTCTCCTTTATTATTCACATTTAAATTTGGTACGACTCACCAATTATTTTGTATAATATAAATTCTATCTAATAATATCTAATAAATTATTTTGTATAGATGTTTTTAAAAAGACAATAGTTTTGCCAAAAAAATTATTACATAGGATAAGATAATTTTGCTTGGTAAATAGATAAAATAGTAAAGTTAAAGGAAAAAACAACCAAAAATAGACTCATATAAGATTCAATTATTCTTTTCTAATAATATGGTATATGGTTTTTGGTAAAAATTATGTAGATAATTCAATTTGAATGACCTTTTCATGATCAAATATTATATTATTTGTTACTACAATATCAACCATCCATATATATTATTAATTTTACTCAGATTATTTATAATTGTAATTATCATAAGTACCTTTTCACCTTGTTATACTTTTAAAAGAGTATTAAAAATTTATTGAAATTAAATAAAAGATAAGATTTTTTTTTTACATGAAAGAAATTTCATTTTCTCCGAGTTAGAGGTATCAAATTATTTAATATATAAATGATTACCATTGATCAAGAATTAACTTAAAAATATATTCATTTTTCAACAATAATTATTATTTCTTTATTTTAGAAAATTGATAAGATGATTTAAAAAAATCATAGCCCCCAATTTATACGAGTAGAAAAAATTTTACCAAAAAAATTTATAATAATAAATAAACTTAAACAAGTCAATTATGTAAAACTCTATGGAGTGTTTAACTCATAAAAAACAAAAAAAAAGAGAGAATAATAACAATAAAATTTTTTTAATGAGAATCATATCATTTAATAATAAAGAATGTTGATTATATCTAGTAAACAAATATATTAATTATGCATTATTATCGATACACCACTAATATCATCCCAACCTTACTTTTAATTTTTTTCTTTCTTTCTTTCATTTTCCACTCTCTTGAATCCAATGTTATTTTCTGAACAAACTTTTATTAATTCAACCCTACTTTTCACAAACCATATTCTCTTGTGACCTTACTAACAATAAATTCCGTTTCTTGCACAAATCCTCAAGCCATGCATTTTTCCTATTTAAAAAAAAAAATCATGTGTTTTCAAAAACTCAAATAGATTCGGAATTATCCTTTCTAAAGAATTTTCGTGATCCACTATTTCGAAATTTTTCCAAGTCTATTAATCCAAAATATTTTTCCCAATATTTACAAAACATTACTCATTAAAAAACATAAATATTTTTATTTTTTTCAATATTTCAAATTGATCACTTTGAAACACTTTAAAGTAACCTTCTAAATTACAGTTATCATAAATTTTCTGAAGACAGTTATTTCTAAATACCAAGTTTGAAATCAAGAAAACTAAATAATATTAAATTACTTATGAACTATTACAAGATTAGAAAGAGTTTTATCTTTGATCCATTGGTTTGTTATTTTCCATTTTGAAAAACTGTCACATTAGAACATTAATTAGAAATGAAAATTTACCACTTTTATTTTCTTTTAGAACTTCTTTTCTCGACTGGTTAGTCTATGATAAAAAAAATATATAAACTAAAATATGAAATCCCTTATCAGTGTAGCAGAAGAAAGAGCAAAAGCTACAAATCGGTTTAGGAATTGCCTAACTTGCAAGTATAATCTATATATCACAACATGCAGTAATATTAAAAGCAAACAACATCTCAAAGATGATGCTTGCACAGTCCAAATCAGGATCAAAGAAAATTTCTACAGCTATAATGTAACATTAAAATTTGAAACAACACATACATGTGGGCTTTAAGACGCTTGCATTCACTAAAAGAAACTTATCCAACATTTTCAAACACTATCTACAAATCCAGGAGGCAGAAGGAAGAATAGGAAAAGTAACTATGATGTATGTATTCTTGAGGATATAACGGGGACCCACAAGAAAAGAAGTTCCTTTGCTGAACAATGATCACTGGACCTAAGAGAAATTGAATCACATTTTTAACCACTTTGGTTTAACAAGCTTCTTCTCAGCAGGTTTGCGTTGTTCAACAGGAGGAGGAGGATTTGCTGCCACAGCAGGTTCTGGTTCTGATTGTTCTACAGGCTCAGATTGTTGGCCTTGATCATTAGCAGGATGCAATTCCTTCAAAGACAAGATCTCTTCTTGAAGGTAAGGACCAGTGCTATCTAAACACCCCATCAATTAAGAAAGGAAAAATATAAGAGCTGGTAATTACTAAATCCGAAACAGGGTAGTGAGAAACACTTTCACACAGCTGCTTTAACAATGTATCTCTAATTAGCTAGAAGTACAATAAATGGCATATTATGTGAAAATGTGAAAAAATAAGTAGAGTTATTATCAGTTATATACTGCTCAATGTATACACTTGACTACATTTACATGATGAAGAGACATCTTATGAAAGATTTGGAGGGAGACACATTTCACATGTTAGGCAACAATATAGATGCCTGAACAGTACCAAAAGTGACTAAATAGTGTAAAATCTGAAATTCCGCAGATCATTTTACAAAATAAAATACATCAGAGTGTTGCTGCAAACTAGAAGGATTTGAACATTGAATGAACTTCAAAATCAACCATACAAATACTCCAAAAATGTCTTCTAAAAAATGGTCTCACATGTGGAGAAACCATGGAATTTATATAAATACCAACCAGGTCAATTTGATCATTGTGACATGAAATTTGGTCCTCCATAGATTAGTACTGATATAATGGTCAGGTGATAAAATACTTAACAACACCTAAATTGGTCCATAGATTAGTGTCTCGACGTTAATTCTCCAAAGATTTTGTCAAGTCACATAAAAATATAAAACAATTGCTACACATGTCCTCTTTCGTTGCTACTTCAGTCTCCATTAAGAACAAATATGCTGACATTTGAGATGGTCAGAGAATTAATTTGGAAACAACAGTTTCTGATACTAATCTTCTAAGGATTTAGGGGCTTACTCAGTACAAAAAACAGGCATTCAAAGGAGTATACATCAAAACAATTCTGCAAAGGATTCTCATGACAGGATGAACTAACCTTTTGGGACATCGTATGAGAAGTACACAATGGCACCAGGGCAAAAGCCAGTATTATAAAAATTCTGAGACATGTCTTTCATCACCTTCTTAGGCGGAGTAGTATCTGCATCATTAGAAGTTGATATGATTTATTTTTCATATTATATCCAGAGCAACTCATTAGTGGTTAGCAGTTTATAATTCATATCAAAAGATAATCTCCATCATAGGCCATGTTAAAATGATGGTAAATGAGTTAAGGGAATTTGAATAATGCTAAAAATGTCAGAGTACAAATTCTAACCATCAAATATCATTCAAAATTTAATCATATATATATTGATATGCCTACATAGATAGAATGGCTGCTCTGGCAGTGAAATAACTTTAGTCAGGACATCAATTAAACTCTGGACGGTTTCTGATGGGTGGAAAGTAGTCTCCAATGTGTGATTATCTGGGAAGCGAACTCTGATTACAGCCTGCAAAAAAGCCCAAAGAAACCTAAAAGATAAATTTATTTCTTACCAATCTTGATTTATTCATTTTAGCCCTCATAAAACATTTATGAACAGTGAAAATATATCCCATATGGAACAGATTAAATCTTTTACCCAAGTGAAATACTGTCCATATTTAGGTTGATTTGTTTTCTGATTGTTTCCCAATTATTTTCTCAAATACATAAATACGAAATTTCTCTGGAGTGAATATCTCATCCTTGTATATAAATATTATCTGTTACCGTGAAAACATTTATTATTCACTATTTTCAATCTCAACTGTAACTATAATAATAATAACAACAACAAGAATAACAATAATAAAATAATAATAAAGAGAGGAAGCTTGACATTACCTTGGTCATTTCTGATCTACGAGCTGCCTGTTCTGCTTCTCGGATTTTTCGAGTCTTTAAGAATTTATCTGAGAAAATTTAATACATTTAAGTTTTAATGTCATTAAGGGTAATTAGTTTAAGCAATTCCTAACGTGTAACAAGTTTTAAAAACAAATACATACAATTGCATTTTAAGGCCAAAAAGTAGAAGACAAAATAATTTTTAGAGGATGGTTTAAACAGCATACACATAACTTAGCTTCCTAACACTGCAAACAAATGGCTTATTCACTATTGACTAAATAATCAGTTTTGTCCTCATAATTTAACTTTTGCTTTCTCAACCTCATAAGATTATCAGTTTTTTAAAATTATCATTCAATTTATGTCAAGTAATGAGCTGAATGGAAAGAAAATGTGGGGAAGAGGACAAAAACTCCCCCTGTTTGAGAGTTTAAAGTAGACAGGAGGGAATCGGTGCAGAAGCATGATCATTTTCCATCATTTCTCTTGAAGGTAAATATATTACTTTCCCACAAATTAGGGTGGAATGAGGGAAAACAAAAGGATAATGGAACGTTGTTCTGTTAGCAGGATGGCATCTTTGTCCCATTCCTGCCCTTCCGATCCTAGCTTATGCCACTTTTTATGTTAACTTCCATTAACGAAATAGATCCATATAAAGTAAACAGAGAAAGTGTACAACAATGCAGATGCATAAGCATACATGACCTATAATCTTATTCAGGTAAATGTTCAAATTAGAAAATTGACATATTCCTCAGATGAAACAGGGCATAAAAATAGGTGACAATAAGTGGTAAATAAGATTTTAGTTCTTTGCTCATGGAATGATTAATAGTATCATCATTACCTTCCTTCTTAGCAGCCAAAAGTCTGTAATAATCTTCAGCAGTAAACTCATAGAAGTCATCAGTCACCTCTTCTAGAAACCAACCAGAAACATAAGTTTAATCAGGATATTTGAGAAAAAATCAATATTAATTAACGAAATAGAAAAAAAAAATGTAAGATAGTGCTCAATTACCATTGGATATCGCAGCATTTGATGATGAAGAGACAAATGTTTCAAAAACACGGATCTCTCGCCCAACTCTTTCTTTCACCGCATTGACCTAGTTCAATAAAATATAAAGGTGAAGGAAAGATCATTGAAATAAATCGTTCATTGAAGTGCAGACACAGTAAACCTGAACCAGGAAAATTTGGTAGCAGTACAAATACAGTTAAGCATACATGAGAAATATCCATGTTAGAAATAGCCAAATATATGGGTCCAAGCCCATCTCTTTTCGTATCATGATATCTACATATATTCATCTGCTGTGCATAAAACACACAGATTTTATTCATTTGTCTCTTTACCATTTACTTTAACATGATATCTAGAACCTAAACCCTAATTTGTGCCATTTTAGTGGACCCACCATCAGTGGCAAAACTTTTCTATAATCGTGTTTCACTCTGATTTCTGGCCTTCTTCATTGTAGTGTTGTCCTATTGCCGTCACCGCCATCGCAGTTGCATGGTCATCATCCCTTTGTTAGGTTCTTGTTTCCCCTCTCTTGTTGCATTCTCTCTCCTCTAGGGTTCATGACCTCTTCAACTTTTTTATTTTCACTAATTATGTCAATGTGTCTCTCTACATTGACAATTTAAATGAAAATAATTATGACACATGGGTCTCTGATATTTAAGCTTTCGTGAAAGGATAAATTATGTTGATCCTAAAATTTATTATATTTGAGGCAGAATGCTAGCAATAGCTAACAATCCAAAATGTGTCATAAAAGATCAAACATAACAATCATTTATGAGGATAAGGAGAAGGACTTCCCCATTATTACTTCTATGTATCAGTTCAGTCATGCACGAACAGGTTCCAAAAAAACACCTAAATTGCATTTAAAATTGAAGGCAAAAGTGAAGAAAATTGTCTCTCTTAACCCTTCACAGCGATCCACACAAAGCAAATTAGAAATAAAATGATAAGTAAATAGAGTTAAATATATATTTTATAAAAGATAAAAATATAAATGATAAAAACAGAGTTTTATTGGAGGAGGTGTCCGGAGAAGGTCACCAATGGACAGTGGCTGTCAGAGGATGAATGTTGCTGATGGACTGCAGTCATGAGTGACTACTGAGAGAAGCAAAAAGCACATCTGATTCAATTCTAGGGTTTTAAACCCTTTTGTGGACCATTTTTTAATCAAGCAACATGGACTAAGTCTTTTTTTTTTTTTCCAACATTATCCACCACAGTATGGCAGCTACCATTTGAAATATGCCACACTACTTCTATCTTCTGTGGTCCCTATTCAACAATACTGCTTTGGAATCAACTGATTTCTGGTTGTGCAGGAGTAAGGCAGAATATATGGACTACAAGTTCAGTAACAAACGTTGTAACTCGAAGGAATTAAAAAGCAGGAGATCAGGTAATATCACAAGTTACACAACTTAGGTATCTTGCAACCCAAATTCCTAAGTGATGGGATGATTGATGGAATATCAACCATAGAATTAAAAGGGGAATAGGAAACCCATTGTAGAGAGTTGAACAAATTGAAGATAGACTCCTTAAATTTATAGAAGAAAATGTATAGCCAACCCTACCAAGTGAGAAGTGGTTGCTGTTGTTAGTGAGCATAAAATATCAAAGAATACATACATAGTCCAATTCACAACCTTTTCTTACAATTGCATGTAAAGTAATTCTAAGACAACAAGGCTGCTTGAACAGCAAAGGAATCTAGAAAAGATTGTGGATTAATATACTGTACTGCAAATCAAATTGCAAAGAGTGATTTTTATTATGGCCAACAATGTGTATTACTACGAAAAGAAAAGGTAGATAGAAGTCACAAGATGTGAACAGCTACATTTGATAGTAGCACTCTAGTAAGTGCCATCCTAACATTAAGCTTAGGAAACTGACCCATCTCAACACCAACAACAAAAATAGAAACAATACAACAGCAAACAGGAGAAACACAAAACGAAAATTCCTATTCCCCTACTGCTATCACCAATTGGAGAACATTAAGAGCTAGCTATCTTAATACATTCAAAGATTGAACCAGCCAATCATAAAAGGAGAATGATGCTTTGTTGTTCTTGGCTCTAATCCACAACCAACTCTAACATAATTGCCTCCACCACTTTTTCCAAAAGATGATCATAAACAAGCTGATGAGAAGACAAACAACTAAAGGAGATCACCACAAGATTAAATTTTTACACCACTCATCAATGACAATTCGTGTTTTACACGGAATGGGTATATATAATGCAGTTTCAGTCCCATTTCCAGTAGCAAAATTAATTAATTAGTTCTTGTGTTTTTTTTTTCATCCATAAAAATTGATTATTGTTTTATTAAATATCAATGTCAATTCAAAAGCACTGGAAAATTATATAGACAGCGCTGAGAACAGAACTTCTTGAAGGAAGTAAACAATCCAATAAAAAAAACTTGCGACACCCACCAAAGGAATTTTCAATTAATCAATAGAAAGAAAAATAAGAAAAATTGAATTTTTTTTATTGGGAAACCTATTAGTACCTATCAATGTGAATTCAAAAACACCGGAAAACATACAGACAGCGGTGAGAACAAAAATTATCTGCTTACCAAGGAAGTAGACGATCCAAGAATAAAAAAAAATCAAACTTGCAAGAAACCCACCAGAGGAATCTTCAAATAATCAATAAAAAGGAAAAAATAAACCAAACCCAGATACAACAAATATGAAAGATTATCAAAGATATGGTGACAAAACAAAATACCCAGAAATCGCACAAAAGCAAAGTATTCAAACAAGAAAATAAGAAAAGCAGAAGAAAAAGTGTAGGAAAAGAGAAACCTTGGTGGCAGCTTCAGTGTCCATATCGGTGGAAAACTTGTAGGTAGCCCTTCTCTTCGTATTTGAAGTTACTGTGAAGGAACCCAGGACCATTATAAGTGATATGAAACAAATACTCTTATTATTGTGGAAATTTTGTGTCTTCTTCTATGACCTGTTTCACACTCTCTCTCTTCTCTCTTCCACCTTTTATAATAATCTCTTTGGATCATTATTTGATTATTTTCTTCTAAGATATGGTAATTGGATAGTTTCAAAATTTTATTTTTAAATAAAAGGTACTAAATTATGTTTAATTTTCTTTTTAACATATTCATAAGTTTGGTATTCTTTGTATGCAAGCAAGGGTTGCACTTGATGATCTCACGTGCTAAAGTTTGTTTGTTTTGTTTGAATAGATTATACAATATTTCAATCTATTCTAATACTTCTTATCTAATATTTTATATTTTTTCATCAAAAAAAAAACCTATGAAAATCAAAATTTTAACATGTTTTAATAATTAACATTTTTTTCATATATTTTAATATTTTTATACTATAAAATTCCAATTGTATTTTTTAATTAAAGTTTTTTATTATTTAAATATTTTTATATAATAACAAAAAAATTAATATTATATCACTCATAATTTTCTTACAATATTTATAATATCATTTTAAATATTACAAAATTAAAAATTAATTTAAATTTTAATTGATGTTTATTTTTTAAATTTAATTTCATCATTAATTTTTAATTGTCAGTATCAATAAAAAAAAACCATTAGATATATTGCACTTATTATTTCAAAGATTCAATAAATATTTCTAGTATTTTGAATTTCTAAAGTTTAATAAATAAAAATATAAATTATTAAAAAATACAAAAATTTAGATATATTGCATTTATTAATATTTATAATGTTTTTATAAATGTTAAACTAGAAAAATTAACTTAAATTTTAATTAATAGTTTTTATTTTATTTCTATTATAAAATTTTAATTATAAAAAAAAAAAAAAAAACTAAATATAGTGTACGTGTTATTTTATAGTTTTAATAAAATATTTAGTTTAATATTTTTTTAATTTAAATCTTAATAAATTATATAAAAAAGATGTTAATGCTAATCAAATGTGTTTTTCAGGAGTTATAATCTATCTTAATCGTGTTCTAATATTTTTCTTTTGAAATTATAATAAAAATTAATTTTATTTTTTAACTATATATTATTATATAAAAAACTTATATGGTATATATACATACAAGTTTATATATATATATATATATATATATATATATATATATATATATTATGTATAATTTTAATTAAAAAAATAATTTTATAAAAGATTATAACTAATTATATATGTGTATAATCAAAATCTGTGAAATTTTTCCTTGATAAATTTTAAATAGTATTAAATAAATTATTTTACATAACACTTAAAATCTATATATATATATATATATATATATATATATATATATATTATTTAATAATTTATATAATATGAAATTAACTATTTTTCTAGTAATAAAAATTAAAAACTTAATAGAGGTAGAATTCATTCCTAAGATCAAAGGTCAACATTAATTTCTGGTCAACATTAATTTCTAGTAAATATATATATATATATATATATATATATATATATATTAAAAAAATGTAAATTATAATTTAATTTTAAAATAAGTTGAAATTTGGAGATCATAGTCCTAGAAACCCCTTACCTCTATCTTAATAATTAGTAGAAAAAATAAATAAAATATTTTAATTAAATTAAATATATAAGGAGACAGAAAAATTGTAACTCTGAATTGCGGTTTTAAAATCATTGTGTCCCAAAACATTTTATGTGAAACAAGCCCTAAATCATCGTCAAGATTGTTGTCCACTTCACTTGTAATCCTATCCTGAACAAGTTGTTTCTCCATAGCACCACTCTTTAAACCTTTACTAACATCACCACTAGAAGTTTCCATTGAAACACCACTGACCAAGATTTTCATGTCTCCAAAACAACATTATTATAATCTCTACAAGATCTCTCACGTTTTAATTCTTTATTCTTAATTATAAAAAGGAGAAAGATAGAATTGCGAAATAAATGAATTCCATTAAATCAACCCGTTTCAAAATTGATTAGATGGATTAATAGTTTTAAATTTATTAGTCTATTTTTGTCTATTAATCCAGTGTGATAAATGGGTCTACTAATTTTTTTAAAATATTTTATATATTAAAATTAAAATAAAAAATATTATTTTTTGTGTTATATTATTGAAATATGTAAATATATTATAATATTAGAATTTAAATTATAAATATTAATTAATTAAATTTAAATTATTAATTGTAATTAGATATTTAACCCATAAATATAATAATTTTTTTAATTTATCGAATAAAAATATTAATGAATAAATAAAATTTAAAAAATTATTTCTATAATTAAAGATATATTTTAAAAAAATACATATAAAACAAATATTAACAAATTAATTCATTAGTTTGTCAACATGTCTTTTACGGGACAAATTAATTCATTAGTTCTTCTTCATTTAATTTTTTTTTACAGGTCAAAAATGGAACTGACCAAAATAATATGAGTTGACCCATTTTAAGTTTATTATTCTCTTTAAATGCATTTTCTCATCTTATTTAATGCATTTCAATATTGTTAAGAAAATACTACTTGATTTTTCTATAGTATTTATTTTTTACTAATTAGTTCTTATTATATATACATTTTGTTCTTAGTTTAGGTATAATGGATTTTTATTATACTCTATGTTAAAATTTAGTTTTTAATAAATTAAATATTCATTAAAATACGTCTCTAAAATATATTATCTGATAATTTATGATGTTTCTCTATATAAAAAACATATTATAAGAAATTTATATAATTTATATGATTTACAATCATTTTCTATCGTAAAGAAAATCTAACCTCAATTGAAGTAATTTATATAATCCATAATAAAATTATATAAAGATATTAAGTACATTAAGCCAAATCTATAAAATTAAATGAATTTTAATATATGGTATAAAATCATTTAAATGATTATGTGTGAATTAAATTAAAAAAAAATCTTATTCAACGACTACTTAAATATAATTAAAAAAATTATTTTATATATAAAATAATATATAGTTTCTTATCAAGAAGATATGCTTATATTTACATTGTATTTTTTTTAAACAGGTAGTATCATATCAAAATTTCTTGAAGAAAAATTTTCATAAAAAAATAAAGCTTATCAAAATAATTTCACTTATCAATATATTAGAAGATTATAACTAAAATTTATATAGAATATAACGAAAAAAAATAATATTATTAAATACAGAAATAACATTTAAAAATACTTGTAGTTTTTAAACTTTAGGAGAAATTAGGAAGAAATAATTAAGAGTGACTTCATGCATTATTTTGACTATAGCAATTTGAATACTTAATTGTAATATAGTAAAATCCTCTAAGAGTTTTATAAAAAAAAAAATTGGATATAGGTAATAAATTTGAATGATCTTGTACAACTTCAACTTCAACTCTTATTAAGTAAAAAAAAAAATCTAAAACTTTATTTAACCCCCATTTAGAATTAAATTGTTCTAAAGTAAATTCATGTGTGCATAGGTAACTAAATAGTTTTATATAGTTAGCAATATTTTTAAAATTTGATTATTGATCTATGAATTCAAGATTTAAAAAATCAATTAAATCTAATAAAATAATTATTTTTTGTTAAAATAATATAATAAGTTTACTACTAATAATAAATTTTCTTATAAAAAAATAACAATTAGTACCAAGGTTGTTATCAAGGTCATAAATAACAATGTTACAAAACTATAAAATATAATAGAAAATAAAAGATTAACGATTGTGAAAATAAAATGAAAACATAATAAAATGGTCATGTGAGATAAAGAAAGAAAAAAAATTAAAAAAATTATATTTGTTTTATCTTTTAAGAAGTTATAAAAATTTGATATTTAATTTTTTCATCAAAACATACTCTAACACAAAAATTCAATGAGGTTTTATCAGTATTATTTTTTTTATTTTATATTTGATTTAATTGAAATCTAATAAACACCTCTAACAACGACATTAAACGGTAACTCACTACATTATATATACCTCCAACAAAACAAAATAAGATTGTAGAACGTCAAAACAAAACTATTACTTCTTCTTAGTACGGGAGAAAGAATAAAGAATTTTGGATATAGAATTCATCAAACAATGTTATATGACCATAATGCAAAGGGTATTGGTGTTGGTCATGATCATAGTGTTGATGTTTTGGTGCTGGTGTTGGTCATGGTCATGGTACTGGTGCCTTTGTGCTTGTTATGAAGGAAAGAAACTTATAGGACAGTGACGACAATTCATGCATACCGAATATGTCTAATTAGAATTACAGTTTGTTAAAAACAAATTTTGTTGAAATCCTCCATGAATTAAACATATTTGAATTAAACCATGAATTCAACATATTTGAAACAAAAATTATTTCAAAAGATTATTATATATGCATAAATTAGGAACTAGGTTGAACAAGTGGAAATAAAAACATACCAATAATATCGATGGACAGAACGAACACGATAATTCGCACGTGCACCAAGACAAAAATCAACGTGAACTAAGACAAACACTAAGACAAATATTAATATACACCAAGATAAACAGTATCGTACCTTGAAATTGGTATGGAATTTGTGATTTGAATTATAATATTGGATGGATATATTGATAAGGATTTAACTAATTCTAGTATTTGGTAAGTGAGAATAATAATTTATTAAGCTTATATCACGGCTTATTTCGAAAGAGAACAAAATTAACTAAATATACCTTATGACATTTGTCTTCAATATCTAATAAAATTCAAATAAACTAATTCTAAATATTCTTGAAGTCAAATAATTATATCAAAACATTTTTTCAAAATAGTCTTAGTTTTTTTATATAATTAAAAGGACTTTTTACAAGACTATACTTGTCCTTTTAAAAACCTAAAATTGTAATCATTTATAAAAAAAAACATATTTAAATTACTTAAATAGGTTAATTTTGACAAGACAAACCTTAAAATCTATTCGATCAAGTACTGTAGAGTTGAAAGAAATATAAAAAATTACTTAGATAGTTAAGTATGTATAAGCATAAGAATACTAATATATAAGAATAAGAATATACAAATGACAAAATATATTATAAATATTAATAAGTTAATAAAATAATAATCATATTTAAATGGATTAATTTAAAGAATATTTAAATTAAATATAATAAATACGAAAATTCAAAAAAAAATATATATATATATATATATATATTATAATTTTGTTTTATATTTTATTTAAAATTCAATATTGAACTTTATATTTTTATATAGTTTTATGTAATGTCAACGGTATAAATATTTCAACAAGTTGGATACTAATGTGATGAATCCAATATTAAATTATTTGAACACTATTAAAGTTCGATTCTTAACGGAAATGATCATTCAATAAACTTTATTTATCTCCTCATTGAGCTAGATCATTCTAAAGCGAAATCTGGAAACTGTGATGGATTGGGATAAAATAAAAAATTGTGAAATTAGAATGTTCTTACATATAAAAACATTTTATATCATAAATATTAATTAGTTATAGTCTACTACATTAGTAGTGAAAGAAAATGTTTTTTTTTTTAAATAAAAATAAAAATGAAGTCTATATTTACAATAACAATTTATCATATCTCAATTTTTACTAGAAACTTTTCATTGTCACCCAAATTTATATCTCCCACATTCTTTAGTTATTTTTGTGTGTTTTTAGGTTACTGATAATCTAAGTATACAGTAAATTCAATCTTTATAATTTTAAAAAATCTCTCTCCTGTATGAAAGAATAAAATTTGGCATACGATGTTACCACCATAACTTAATTAAAATTCGTATTGTCACAATAAATTTTCTAATTTATATATAAAAAAAACTACAAAATTCATATATAATTGTTTTTTATTGATTGGCAATGTAAAACTTTTTTAAGAAAAGTATATTTCTTAATCAAACATTCCGTTCAACAATTTTTGTATTAATATAATATTAATAAAATTTTGTTTTATTATTATTATTAAATAAGAATGGTAAGAAAGATGTTTGAGATGAAAGGGTTGTATCTATATCATATCTCAACTTTTTATCCCTGTATGAAAATTACACTCTTTTGACAAATTTTCAAAAGGTTTATAATTACAATTACAATGCTTTGAATGGAGGAGTGGCTTCTATATTTTGAACTTCCATTCTAAGTTCGATTAAAATCTATAATGATACTTAATAGAAATATGCTTTATTTTGCTTAAAATTTTATTAGTAACTCTTGAGAAAACACCTTTCAGAAACTGGTACGTTTCTTTAAATAGCTAGTAAAGAAACTTGGTCTCAATTGACACAAAAAGCTTGGGATCACATGCAACATTCTTTCATCCCAGAAAGGGGTAATCTACATGCACACTACATTCCGGATAATACTATTCATGATAAAAGGGAGTGTTGGCTTGAGTTTTTTAGGGTGCATGAAATACTCAAAACTTGGTCTATTCTACAGAGACAATGCCTTTTTTTGTTCTCAAGCTAACCCATGAAAATGGTCACTGTATTGATCATCATTTCTGTTGCTAAGAAAAGGAACCTGGTATAAGGCATTGCAGAAGTCATATACAAGGGACGTATCAAGGACATAGATAAAATGGCTACTCTTCAAAAATCTACCATAAACCTATCAAGAAATATCCATCAGCATCAACAGTCTCTAGGCATGTCCACCAAGAATTGTCAGGGGGACTGAATGAGAATTTGAATTCATGCACGGTTTCATGTCCTCTTGATCTTTGAAAATGTTCCTGTTTCAGAGAAGTAGGTGCTTTGAGTTCCACTACCGAGTTGGTGTGCATGAGCCTGTGGATTTGTCAGCTCAATCCCCTGAAAAACATTATAAATGACTCAATATTATGTTTAAAGCTAAAAGTGCTATCAAAATCAAGTATTCCATCGTCCATCATAACTATCAGTTAAATTATTGACATAAATTAATTAATAAGAAAGATGATATCTATATGCTATCCTGTGAAATACGTTTTGGACAAAAATGGCGCTCCATAATTATGCAACTACCCATAAATAGCATATTGTGATAACCAAAATGTCTACCAAGCATTAATTCCATTTTATATTGGTGTCTAATTGAAAATAGGATATCACAAGAACTAACGTGTTTAGGATTATTTTCCTAACCTAGTAAAACAGATATTCCAATTTCTAACTCAATTTACTGAGCATAGTTAGAAGATGCGTTAGGTTACACTCATAGTCTACAAATCTTTCACTTCTATCATTATCAATCAAATAAACTAAAAGTTAACCACAGAAATCATCCGTTGGAAATACCAAGCAAACATAAGGCAAAGCAAAAGAATATAATGAACTAGGAACTCAAAAGTCTTTTCAATTGTTTTATACATAATATAGGGCATTGGGTTTCACAAAGCACAAATGTACAAAACAATTTTCCGAAGCTTAACACAGGGCAAGAAGACATTCTTGCCAAAGCTATTAGTATTAGAAATATTTGCTGAAACTCAACCATAAGCTGTGTCTTCTCCGTATTAAACTATTAAACCAAATTATATACAACCTGTCTAGGTAGAGATCCTATTCAGTTAGATACAACTAAAACACAGCTTAACCTGTTCGAATGGGGAAATTGTAGTGAACCAAGTGGCAGCCCAACCAAGCAGGTCCAAATACGTGAGCAAATAGGAATTCTGATTTTGATAGCAGTTCAAGGAAATTGAAAAATATATAAATTTTGGATTACATGCAATTGAATTTCTTTCATTTTTCAAATGTTTTGTCCAGAATAAGTAATTTAAGTGCCTTGTATTTCAATTTTCTTAGATAGAATAATAAAATTTTCATCAAAGGTAAAAAAAATAATTTTAAAATATTTATTTAAGATAGTTATAAATGGTAATAATTTTATCATTAATATATATATATATAACATTTGTACCGAGAAAGTTGGAAAGTGAACCATTGCAGAGAGAAGAGCCTGTATTCAATTAAGAGACGTTAGGATGTTAGCTTTTTTTATCTAAGAATTTGAAATTCTACTGATGTTAATTAATTAAAATGCCTTATTAAAATGCTAGAATTTTAATTACTTTTTAAATGTTGCATACAAACAGTTTACTTTACATTAGGGTTTAAAATTCTTTGAAGTATACATTACTACGCTATGTTCCCCCATCTAAACCCAGGGTAAAGTTTATTTAAATGAGAACTGAGAAATTTTGTCAACTACCTAACTGGATTATTTCCTCCAAGTAGGTTAATCAATTTGATACACGCAACCAACATATGGCTTAGATACTGCATTTTACATACATACTTGAGAAAACTAGGGCAATTGTTTGCAACAACTTAACCAAAGGCTCAATATTCATTTTACTTGAAGGCTTCCGTGTGGTAGGAAAGTCCTAAAACAAGGGCTGGGAAAGTAGCCTTGTATTACTAGAGAACATAAGAGCAAAATCAAGGGAAAGGAACGAGTTTAATGATTCACATGAGCAAGAGATGAGTTGAAGGGGAATATCCACCAGTAATTTCTTGTGAATGGTAACTGCCTAGACATGGGGAAGATAAGGGCACAAATGTCATTCTGTTAAGAGTAGAATGGGGATAAATGTCATACGAAAGTAAGCAAGGGGCGAGAGAGAATTCAGTTGAGAGGAAATTCAGATGTGAGCTCTAAGCCCCTTTGATGCAATCCGTAATGGAAATACAAATCATATATCTACTGAACTGCCATTACTACAAAAAGCTCAGCAGAATCCAGTGGTTGAAGGAGACTATGCTTATGGATAAGAATGAAAGAAGGAATCAAAGACTATTTTCCAGGAAAAAAAAACACCCAATGAAAAAAATCTACTAGTAGAAGGCTTTGTCATTCTCAAATGACACCAGTAGTGGGATATGAAGCTAAATGATTTAAAATTGCTAAACAGGGTTTCCATTTACAGCTTCCCATAACCAGTTGGTGCAAAACTGAATACTTTTTGTGTGATAGCAGGATGACCGCCATTCCAAAGACAATAGGTAAACGCTATAAATAATTCAAATGCTAAACATGTTTCCGTTTACAACTTCCCAAAACCATTTTGTGCAAAATTCAGTACTTCTGTACTAGTTATGGTCCTGAAGAGCAGGAGAAAATATACAGAAATAAACGATGAGCTAACCTGCACTGGTGTGAAAGCAAGACTTGATGTCAAACCAGATGTAGCACCACTGCTACCATAATTCTTTTCCTTGAATCTGACAAATGAAAATAGTTCACCAGAATTTTCATTGTGATCAGTTAGATAAATAATGTAAGATACATTAATGATACTTTAGCATCTTGCAACAAAATCAAGTAACTAGAAAATAATAATATAGAATTGAAGCAAACAGAAGCACTTACCTTTTAGCAACTTTTGCAGCAAGTTTGCTTTGACCAACAGACACGCGTAGTTTGCCACTGCCAGCCTGACCAAGCATTCCATAGCCCTCACCCAGACCATCTCCTATAATTCACATGCACAAAAGTATAAGAATATAAGAACTGACATTTTTACATTTAAGTTTCTAAAGGATTTCATATTGTTAGAATAGTTTAACCTGTAAGAATAGGTTGAATTTTCATCTTACAACACTTGGAAAGCTAAAAGGTTGTTTCTGTGGTACCTAAGAACTCATACATATCTATATATACACATGAATCAATTGATAGATAATCATCTCTTAAGCATCCTTTCACGTATTTTCAATCCCTAGTTGATATCAAAACAAGTCAATCTAACTCTATTATTATTGTAAGGTGAGTAAACTGCTGCTCATTGCTGTCCACCTATTGTCAGCCGCCATCTTCCACCACAAGTTCCATCTTTTCCCCCTGATGAGCCCTTAGTTTGGTATGCTGCATTGAGTGATGGAAAACTCACTATTCACTGTCTTCCACTATTTGTTGCCATCAGTCCCGTCTTCCACTATTCACTATCACCAGCTACCGTCATTTTCTATGATGAACACAGGATATAGTGCATTTCTTCGAGCAAGGAAGAACCCAACAAGTAGCAAAGGCTTAAACTCCAACCACACACACATTGGGCAACATTGCGGCTCCTTCATAGTTTTCGCTGCCTCTCTTGTCTTTGTTTCAACCTACATTTTTGGTTTTCCACTACATTTCAAGCTATCTTTCTAATTTTCACCCTATTTTTTAGTTTCACTTTTTTCATGCTCAACCTAGGATTGGATGCTTTCATATTCTTCCAATTCAGGACATTTTGAATATATATATATATATATATATATATATATATATATATATATATATATATATATATATATATATCAGAATTTCCTCAACATGTGTCATGAATTTCACGCATAGTTGCTTCTTCTATTATTAGTATTAGATCAATATTTGTTAGGAATCAGGCGAGAATTACCAGAACAAATGGAAAGAAAAAGCTAGTTATTTTCAATGTTGAACCAATATAAGAGTAATATCAAGGGCAGTCGAATCTCTGATATATATACCGAAGAACACACACTGAATCAAATAAAAAGAAAAGTCCTGTTGTCCACCAATTTCCAAACTCAATTGTTGCTCACTTTTATCTTCAATCTTATTTTTTACTAAGAGCCTAACAGAATATCACATTCCGTTTTTCACACTACCACCAACTACATTGGCAGGTGGATATATTTCAACCCCCTCCCTTATTTTTTCCCACTAACAGAATTTCTTCACATTCCTTATGTGGTCCACCTTATTGGTTCCTAACATAGGGTTTTGCATAACTATTACAACATAAGTATTCAAAGTCTCATTATTGTATTCTCCTTTTTATTCCTTCTATATAATCCATATATTTTTCAATATAGTAAATATAAATTCACATAGCAGATTAAAAAATAAAACGGCAAAAATTGCTATGCCAGAGTAAATCAGATCAGCACAAGAGAAAACTGCTGAAATTACCTAGTGAACTCTCTTCTGGTACTCCAAATTGCATCCTATTGGCTAACTTCCTCATGTCTGTTATTGCATACCTGTAATTAGAATCAACAGGTCATGAATTAAAAACAAAAGAAAAAGGCAAAAAGCAGAATACCTTTAAGAAAGCAACCAAAATATCCAGTACAAACAAGAATTTAAGACTATGCTAACCTTTCCTTCATTTTCCTAAGCCGACGACCACCTCTCTTCTTTTTAGGCTCTGAATCAGGAACTGGAAGTGGTTTTGGTTGCTTTGCAGGAGGGGGCTCTTGCCACTTCTCAATTTTTTTGTGAATCTCATCCTTGAAAGCCCTTCCAGTGTTTCCAGATGGATCCCCACGTATTGAATCTACACGTGCTGCAAGTGTAGACTTGGCAGCCAAGAGTCGACATGCTCGCATCCTTAGAGATGGAGGAGTAGTCTGAAATATTTCTGTTTGCTCAACGTAACCTACACGAAATTGAGATGTTGCCGTGGAGAAACCAGCAAGATTCTTTTTCTTGGCACCAAGAAGCTGTACATTACAAGCAGGCATCTTTGCTAGAGATGCTAAACCACCAGCTGTGCCCATGAGTTTAGCTGCAACAGCACTCCCAACTATAGCAGAGAGATTAGGTGCAATGTAGCCCATTCTACTCTCAACGAAATCCAGAACATTCTTCTTTGCTGAATCAAGATCAAGTGCTCGATCACAAGCCTCAACAGTCTTACTAAGGACTTCTTCTGGAAGAGGCTTGCCAGTTGTAGTTGAAGCAGTAACAGAGACAACCATGATAATGGCAGAGGGTAAAAGCCCTTCTAAATCAACAAGTGTCAGATCCATTTCATTTCCTATCTTCTTAACAACCCGTGCATAATCAATCGGGTGATGCACCAGGGATTCAAGCTCTGGAAATTTCAATCGATATTTGTCACGGATAAAATTGTGGATTATAACAATTTCATTCTCAATGTCAACTGACAGTGCATTGCAATCCACAATCAGCTGGTATTCAGGGTCATCTTCTAAGTCCACTCCCTGAGTCGAGACATCCGACCCCTTTTTAAGGGCCTCTTCCACTTTCTGCAATAAAAAAATAACATTATCCCTTATTCACACACCCATGTCAATATCTATCTATCTATCTATATATATGTATATATATATATATATATATATATATATATATATATATATATATATATATATATATATATATATATATATATATATATATATATATATATATAAAACAGATAGAACAACACCATTACAACATAAAACAATGAGAGGAACCCCAGTTGCAACTAATTCCCAGCTTAGTCAAACTGATTCTCGATTATACATAAGTCAATAAGGTAGCCAACAGCAATAGCAATAACAATGATAATTGACAAGCCTGGTTTCAAATTGTGATAGTAGTACTTGTCATATTGGAGGTCCCACCAATAAAAACTGTGTGCAACGTTTTAAGCAACAGTACGTGACAATGATTTTGGCTCCAACATCAAGGTTTTAGCGTGTGTGCAACTGTAACAAGGTCACAATTGTGGCTGCATCCACAGTATCTGTCCCCAATTTGGGTAATATCAAGGGATGCGATGAAACACGGCATCCACAATTTAAATCCTTGATTGTGGACAATTTATAATCACTAAGAAGGAGATGAGAAGCAACTAACCTGTATAATATCAATGTACCTCTGGGTTTTCTGCAACTTGGAAACACTGTCCAAGTCATCATAGTTGAGGTTTTCTAGGTCAGCCAAGTCACCATCAACATCCTCTTCCATGTCTGCAGCATCGACATCGTTATCCTCCTGAAACAAAAGGAACCAACCACCAAATTTTGTAACCAAACCTTTTCCTAATTTCTTTCAAACTTTGCAGGTTATATATAAATAAATAAATAATGGAAGAGGAAGAAGCTAACCGGAATTTCGGCCTCATTATCAGAGAGTTCATCGAGGTCGGCGAGAAAAGAATCAGCAAGCGTAGCCTGGAATCAAACACGCACAATAAAAAGACCCCAAATTTTCATATCTAAAAATTAAAATTTGAAACTGAAAATGTTTAATTAAAACACAGAAAAACAACATGAACTGGAACAGAGGGAAGAAGGAACGGGAACAAACCATGTCAATGGACGAGGTGGCCGGAATCGACGTTGTTGTGAATTGGAATTCTGGTTAGTGACCGGACGACCTCGAAAAGAGAATTATAAAAAGGCACGCGTAGACGTAACGGGCCTGGCTTGAATAAAAGGCCCAACCCCTCAAAAATACTCGTCTTCTCTAAAATAAAGCAGAAGGTTAAGTATATTTTCTCATTTTATCTTTTATATTATATAATTATTTTTCTAAATTGTAAAATGATTTTAAATTTTAAATTCTAATTTTATTTTTAATATTTTAATGATAATAAACCATTTTATTTTTAAATTGTAGATTTTAATATTTAATAATCATTTTTCTAAATATAAAATAGTATTTGTGTTTTTATTGGTCATTATAAAATTTATATTTTCTGAAAACTGTAAATGAAAATTAAAATACACATTTATAATATATAATAATATGTAAAATATTTTTTTAAAGCTTTTTTATGTCATCAGAAAGGGAAAAAATATAATTTATATTTATATTATATATTTTTCTTCTATTCCTTTTAATTCAAGTTTTGTTCCATTTTTTAATATAAAATAATAAAAAAATATCATTTCCTTTTAACTTGATCATATTATTTCTTTAATTTTTCTTTTTTTAATTTTACCTAAAATTTTATTTATCTCTAACAAATCATAATTTAAGAAATAAATATTTATATTTAAAAATTAATAAATTAAAATAAAAAACATAATAAAAATACAAACACATTGTAATTGTGTTTTTACTATTGGATATATAAAATGTATAAATAATCATTCAAATATAAAGGTATAGGAGTAAGTTAGGATAGTTTTATTAATATAATAAAAAATTATTTATGAAATATAAAAGTGAAAAAAAGAAAAACATTTTATGGGAGCTATAACTTTTGAAACACAAGTAAAATATTATCTTTTATCTGTCTTTGTTATTATCAAATATTGTAAAAACATAGAAAAGAAAACAAAAATTAAAAGATAATGTCATAAATTTTCATGGATAAAATTAATTACACGTGATATAAAGATGTTAACAAGAATATGAAACACACTTAAACATCCTTAAAAAAAAAAGCAAAACATTAAAAAATTAACACTCAAGAACATATCCTACAAATCATCGGTTAATGTAAATGAATCTAACTGCACATAGTTGATGATGATACCTTTGAGATATAATGTGATTATCTATCTCACTTTTCATAAGAGTATCAATAAACAAACATTTATATTTCTAAAATATCTCAACAAAATTTTGTTCTATTGAATAAAATAATATTATTTATGTCTAGTCACTTCTCTCTCGTTCTCGCCCCTGCTCCTATTGTTACTAACTCTTACTTTACACGTTCACTATCATCCAAGTGGTTCAAAATAAGTTTGTTTCTCATATTTTTTCGATTTAGGTTTAGTTTCTTTATTCATTATTATTTTATTTCATGGATCTATGATTCTAATTCATCAATTTCTTTTTATTTTTATGTAAAATTGAAATTTGATTTGATCTAGAAAGATTTACTTTAAACCTTAACCACTTTTTCGTTTGTTCTTTGAAATCTTATTATTAATATTCAAACAATGAATAACATTTATGATTTTTTATATGGATTATATTTAGTGTGATTAAGTCATACAAGTTAAGTGAATAATTTTTAAAATTATGAATATTGTCTCTTTGACACCAAATAAAGTTGAAAAAAATTAATCATCAAAATGAAATAACCATGTGAGTAGAGTAAATTATTTTTTTGAAATCATTTTTATGTTTAAAGATCAAAGTTCTCTATTTACATGTTTTTGCCGTACTAAATTGCAAAACATGAAAGCAAAGATGATAAATTTTCAAATGCTAAAAAAGGTGATATTGTAGTATAGTTTCTCTATGTATATTTAAAAATAAGGGATATTTTTGATAATTATTATAATTTTTTTTTTTATCATTTTAAAAACTATTTACAACATGTTTATAGACAAATATATTGGGAGAAGTGAATAACATTCCAAAAAATAAGCAAAAGATTCACGTTGAGTCAATACCATTTATATAGTCGATGTTATTGAATAAAAATGTTAAAAGTAATAGAACATTATTCTATAAATTAACAAGTAGATGGGTTGCAAAAAGATAATTAAATATAAGATTTGAAATAATAGATTTTACATCATTAGATTTTAACTAATAATCAATCTCATAAATATTACATTTTTAAAAACTACTTAAATAAAATATCTGTAATAAAATATATGTAAGTTTATTTATCCAATTAGACTTAGTTATTATTTATAAAAAAAATTCAATAATAAAAAATAAACCTGTTTATCATAATACATCTATTTTTCTCTTTCTTAATTTACTTATTGTTATTTTATTTTTCTTTATGTCTCTCCCCTTTTTTTTTTATTCTTTCCATTTTATTCTAGTAATTAAAAATACTAGATTAAAATTTGATAAAATAAGGTTTTTATTATTTATTGAAAATAAAAAATTTTAAATTATCAAAAAATTATTATAATTTTACTTATTATATGATTAATTTGAAGTATTAAAAATACTATTATTATATTATAATTATTAAAAAAATAGTTTTTAAATATATTTTTAATAAATATTAAAAAAATTTATCTAATATGACTAATCATCGTACCTCAACCTAATTATAACTAAATTAAATTACTAAATAAAAAAATATTTAGTTCATAAATATTTAATATTTTTTAATTAGATTGATAATTAATTTATAATGATAAATAAATTTAAATTAATTATTTATGTTATCATAAATACAAATATTTCTTATCATAATAAATAAACTTATTTATTATCATCATAATATTAAATAATAGTTAATATTTTTTAGTTTTAATGTTTGATTCTAAAAAAATTACTCCAACATATTTTTATTAAATTTCAATATAATAGTTTTAATTAGAAGAATAAGTGGGGAAGAGAAAAAAAATAAAAATAAAATATGTGATATAGAAAAAAAGAGAAAACAACAGAACCAATGAAACGAGGAGAAAAAGAAATAATAAGAAAAGAGAAGAAAAACTGCATATGAACAATGAGTAGGTTTAGATAAATAAATTATGCAGTAATTTTTCTTTAATGAATATTAATGAAATTTCTACCATCACAAAAAATATATTTCTTAAATATGTTATAATAAAAAAAATAACTTGTTACTTCTTGTTCGAGCGAAAACGAGTTCTTGACAATTTTTTATGTACCGGGAATATCACTATTCAATTGACTAATTTTCGCATCCACCAAAATAAATTTTTTTCTCTCTAATGCATTTTCACTTCAGCCATCAACTATAGCCAGAACAAATTATTCAAAATCTAAATTATGTATAAGTGATTAAACTATTTCATATACGATCACACTCGTTTCAAAACATATCTATTATGATTTCTACATAAATTCTAGTGTAATTGAACTAATCTTAGTCACTTCCATGTAAATTGGATACATGAAGCATTGACACTATATAACAAAATTTTTAATTCAATTAAGTCATACCACACAAAAATTTAATTTATAATTTATAAAACACTCTCAAAATTTCAACGTATACAATTTTCTACAAAATAAATCTTGATGACTAAGTCATTTTTCAATATCAAGATCATCTACCTTCAAATATTGAGGAACTAAAAAATCAATTTTCTTCATCTCTTTCTCACTTTGCCTCCTTTTTAAGTAATACCCCAAGAGTCTTAACTTCACAAGAAGCACAATACTAAAATTAAGAAATTGAATATTTTATTATATTCATAAATTAGTAAAAGATTCATTTTTATTCCAAAAAATAAACATGCATAAATCTAGGGAGCCAAACAATATCCAACCTATACTAACAATTAAAGAAAGGGGTAATGGGAGACAAAAGTGCTCTACTTTAATTAAAGAGTGTTAAATACATATAGATTTAGAAAAAAAAAGCAGTGAAATATCTTAAAAAAACAAAAAAAAAACTTAGATTGATAATAATTTTATATATACATAAAATTTTGAATAATAAAATTTTGTATTTTATAATATTTTGAATGTAACTAATAAAATAATTAAATTTGACCTAACTAATTTACTTGTATTTTTATACATAAATTAAATTTAGTCCTTATATTGTACAATTTTTAAAGTATTAATTTCAAAAACAATAATATTTAAAATTTAAAAGTTAAAAATAACATTAGGAAATCAAAATATGGAAATTTAAATTTCAAAGTTTAAAATGATCATAATTTGATTATTTTTAATTGTAAAAAAATATGAATTATAATTATAATAAGTTTTAAATTTTAAAATTTACTTTTTTGTATTTTTTACCAAATAAATGAAAATGATATTATGACTTAAAGTTATTCAAGTAATTACTAATGCATTAAATGCTTTTAATTATTTATTAATTAATGTAATTCGATAATAATTTATCAATTAAATGTGTATTAAATAGTACTTATGTAGGAGACCAACTTAAATTTTTTTATTATCTTTATTTTCAAAAACTTAACATTTTCCAAAAAATTAAATTTTAAAATCTTTATAATTCGTTTTAAGTGAAACCTTATCAATATTATTATTAAAATATAAAATCAATATAGTTATTATCATTAATAGTATTACTGATACATTACTGTGTATGTATATATGACTGTAACAATTTTTAAAAATATAATATCATAATAAGTCATTATACATTATAATAAAAATTGAATAGATAACTGTTCGTTACAAACAATCGTTTGTCATATTAATATAAACAGAATATATAATTAAAAATATTTATTCAATATATAAATAAGATAGTGCATATTAAAAAAATTGCTGTAAAATGTATTTTTAAATATAATTAATAGAAAAAAGCACCTACTGTTTAAATTTTCTATTTAAGAAAGAAATATAATAATAAATTATAATTATAATTTAAAAAATATTTCTAAAATTGAAGCAGATGCAGTGGACCAATCTCATTGTCTCTCTTGGTAAAATAAATTTGATGGGTTTGAAAAGCGAGAAGAGTCTAGAAACATACTACGATTACACCTTCACGATAATAATGAATAAAGTTCAAAGTAGAATTGTGGAACGAAAATGGAAAAAAGAGAAAAAGTCCAAAAAATCCCAACACTAGAAAGAAACGTCACCAACAACATCAGCAGTTTGGAGAGAGGGTAAAGCTGCATGTACGAATGTATCTTTCCATTCCCATCACCACCAACTGTTCTCAACCCGCCATCGAACTCAACCACCGTCACATGTTCATCAATTTTCTTTCCCTTAAACCCTAAATCGTCCCATTCTCAATCAATTTTGCCGTATCAAGGTTCAGCAGAAGGTACAGATAGTTTAGGAAGAAATAGAAAGAAGGTGAGAAAGGAAGAGAGAGAGTGTTACAGTGGAGGAAGTTGTGGTGAGAGAGAAATGCCAAGTGTGGCTGTGAAGCTCTATAGCGTGTTCTTCAAGTTCCTCTTGAAGCACCGATTGCAGAACCGGATCCAAGCATCTTCCCAACACTCCGACCCGTATGGTGTTACCACCCGGCCTGAAGAATCTGTTGCCGCTGCTAACCCCTCCTTTTCCGACGGCGTCGCCACCAAAGACATTCACATCGATCCCTTAACCTCTCTCTCCATCCGAATCTTCCTGCCCGAGTTGGCCCTCACCGCTCCCGAGCCGCATTCCAAGCCTAAGCCCCGTTCCAGTCATCAACCTCAGCCTCGATCCGCGCGCCTCGATTTGATTGAGCGGAGGAACAGCTACGGGCCGCCGCTCATCGATGAGCGACGGAATAGCAGTTTCGGAAGGGGCTCCGGTATGGAGGGTTTGAACCTGATGTCGGACGGTCCGTACCAGGGCTACTCGCCACTGGCGGGAGAGAAGGGGGAGCGGCGGAGGCTGGCGGTGGTCTTGCAGTTCCACGGTGGGGGGTGGGTTAGCGGTGGGAGCGATTCGGTCGCGAACGATGTTTTCTGCCGGCGGATCGTGAAGTTATGTGATGTGATAGTGGTGGCGGTGGGGTACCGGCTGGCGCCGGAGAACCGGTACCCTGCCGCGTTCGAGGACGGCGTGAAGGTGCTGAATTGGCTGGCAAAGCAGGCAAATTTGGCGGAGTGTAGCAGGTCGATGGGGGGTGGGAGGAGTGGGGGGCATGGTGGTGGTGGTAGTGGTGGTGGGGAGTTCAAGAAATCGGATGCTCATAAGCATATTGTTGATTCCTTTGGGGCTTCCGTGGTTGAGCCATGGCTGTCTGCTCACGCTGATCTTTCAAGGTTATTACATGACGATTGTGTTTTACTTATTAGTGGTTATTTTGTTACTTTTCTGTGAAGTTCAAGATTCTCTGATTAATGGTTTATGAATTTAGGTTGAAATTTGATCTTCACTGATCCTTTTTCTTGACTTGTTATCGAACTTCATTTTATTGTTATTTAGTGTGTAAACATTTACATCCATTGCCTCTGAGACATGTAGATAGTGATTAGGTTGAGAATGCGGTGTCACGTAGGTCTAGGAATCCTGAACTGAGGAGGGAGAGTTTACGGATGATACTAGGTAGGGACTAGTTGAAGTTGAACTCCACTTTTTATGTTAATTACTCAGTGGCAATGGATTCGATTCATCTGAATAATGAATTATATATGAGTGGATAAACTTGTGACAATGTTTGATATATTTTTTAAGGTCTGATTTTATGGAAGTTTTAGATTTCTTAACTTTCTTTACTGATTCAATAATTCCCCAATTTCTGACTCATACGTGCTCTATGTGATATGAATCACAAGGGGTGATTTAGGATATTTAAGGTTAGAACCTTGTAGAAAATTTAATAATTTAGTGATAAGGTGGAAGGAAAGAATCACTCTTTCCAAGGAAGACAACACATAAAGGATGTGAAAGTCCTTTGATACAGCCAAATATTCTTGAATCACTCAAGAACTTAGGAGAATCACTTTCACTAAGATAAAAGAGATAAACTCTAATATTTCTAAAAATAAACTCAACTTAAAACAAAATCAAACTAAAGTCCATTAATTGATTAATCCAAAACACAATTTGGTCAACCAACAATACTTGTTGAAAAGCTTCATTTACTTCCCTTGCTCTAGCCCTTATCATAGGTCATGTTCACATCATTCTCTCCCTCTTGAAAAGGATTTGTCCTCAAATCGGATTCATCATTTACATAAAAAAGAGATAAGTCTGATAAATTGAATGTAGAACTAACATTATACTCACTTTTTATGGCTAAATAGCTCTTCTTCACTTCAAATGTTTCACTCTTCTTTTTTTCTCTCTTTTCTTGAAGAAATTTTTCTCTCATTTTCTTTTTATCCTCCTCTGCCATCAATTTGATGTTCAAACCTTTAAACCGGGACTCTGATACCAACTGATATGAATCACAAGGGGTGATTTAGGATCTTTAAGGTTAGAACCTTGTAGAAAATTTAGTAATTTAGTGATAAGGTGGAAGGAAAGAATCACTCTTTCCAAGGAAGACAACACATAAAAGATGTGAAAGTCCTTTGATACAGCCAAATATTCTTGAATCACTCAAGAACTTAGGAGAATCACTCTCACTAAGATAAAAGAGATAAACTCTAATATTTTTAAAAATAAACTCAACTTAAAACAAAATCAAACTAAAGTTCATTAATTGATTAATCCAAAACACAATTTGGTCAACCAACAATACTTGTTGAAAAGCTTCATTTACTTCCCTTGCTCTAGCCCTTATCATAGGCCATGTTCACATCATTCTCTCCCTCTTGAAAAGGATTTGTCCTCAAATCGGATTCATCATTTACATAAAAAAGAGATAAGTCTGATAAATTGAATGTAGAACTAACATTATACTCACTTTTTATGGCTAAATAACTCTTCTTCACTTCAAATGTTTCACTCTTCTTTTTTTCTCTCTTTTCTTGAAGAAATTTTTCTCTCATTTTCTTTTTATCCTCCTCTGCCATCAATTTGATGTTCAAACCTTTAAACCGGGGCTCTGATACCAACTGATATGAATCACAAGGGGTGATTTAGGATCTTTAAGGTTAGAACCTTGTAGAAAATTTAGTAATTTAGTGATAAGGTGGAAGGAAAAAATCACTCTTTTCAAGGAAGACAACACACAAAGGATGTGAAAGTCCTTTGATACAGCCAAATATTCTTGAATCACTCAAGAACTTACGAGAATCACTCTCACTAAGATAAAAGAGATAAACTCTAATATTTCTAAAAATAAACTCAACTTAAAACAAAATCAAACTAAAGTCCATTAATTGATTAATCCAAAACACAATTTGGTCAACCAACAATACTTGTTGAAAAGCTTCATTTACTTCTCTTGCTCTAGCCTTTATCATAGGTCATGTTCACATCACCATGTTTAACTCTAGTTGTGCTTAGATGACATTTTGTGCACATTCTGTTTGCAAACATATAGATCTGGTTGGTTCATATTTGTGGTTGGGATTCAGAGTTACATACTAGAGAGAATGGATTTCTCTAATACTGTTTATATTAGCATTATGTGTCCCTTTCCATATTATCTAATATCATATTGCTCTATAGTACTGGTTATTTTCAACTTTAGAATGTGTCCTTTGGTCATGATACGTATTTTTAAAAGTACAAACACGTTGAAAGTGAGGTGATAAAGTGATTACTGATGATGGCATGCAAAATATTCTTACGGTGGAGAGGTTACTTGTTAGCTGCAACAAGTCATTCTGCAAAAATGTTTAGAGAATTAGAGGGAGGCTTTTGTTTTTATAAAAGCGGACTAGTGGACATGTAGTGCTTAAGCAACAATCTGTGGATGTTTTTCTCCTAGGATTTCTTTTGTTCTTTCTGTCTGATGGTTTGTTATTGTCAATATTGGATTTCAGCTTTCCTACAATGATGGGAAACTGACGTACTACACCCTTCTAACTAATCTTTCAGTTGTCTGCCACTTGATCTCAACCATGTCTTCCAGACTAAATGATTATATGTATCTTCCTTTAATGAAACCTAAAATTTAATCGATGAAGGTTGGTTACAGGATCTTTAACAATATTTATAATCTAATATCTTTTTTTTTTCCTCCAAATAGTTTATTTCAAATAATAACCACTATTGTTGAAGGTGATACGGTGAATTAAAAAGATGATTGTTTGACTAAGTGTCTAGGTATTTCCTCCTCTGGGCATGTCGAACATACTGGGATACATTGCCTTTGTAAAAGATAAAATTCTAATGTACTCTCTAAGTAATACTCTCGGTAGCTTTATAATTTGATAATATTTTATTTTTGACCCAATAGCTTGTAGTTGTATGGTTATATGATTCCACTTCCACTTATATTTGTATGTGCTTTTGTATTGTTTGTCACACTAATTTCTTCCTGTTGTGCTTCCTTTGGTTTTAATTGTAAGATAGTCCTAATGGAGTAATGTACTTCCTTTGTTTAGTGCTTAACATCTTTGTTTCTTCAATGTTGAAACAGATGTGTTCTTCTTGGAGCAAGTTGTGGTGCCAATATTGCAGACTACGTGGCTCGTAAAGCTGTGGAAGGAGGCAAACTTCTGGACCCTGTCAAGGTGGTAGCACAGGTTCTAATGTATCCATTTTTCATTGGAAGTGTTCCCACACGGTCTGAAATAAAGTTGGCAAACTCTTACTTTTATGACAAGGCCATGTGTACGGTTGCATGGAAACTTCTCCTACCTGAGGGAGAATTTAGTTTGGACCATCCAGCCGCTAATCCCCTTGTCCCGGGCCGGGGTCCTCCTTTAAAGTTGATGCCTCCAACATTGACAGTTGTGGCCGAACATGACTGGATGAGGGATCGTGCCATTGCTTACTCAGAGGAGCTCCGGAAGGTGAATGTGGATGCACCTGTTCTTGAGTATAAGGATGCTGTACATGAATTTGCTACACTTGATGTCCTTCTCAAAAGCCCTCAGGCCCAGGTTTGTGCTGAGGACATAGCCATATGGGTCAAGAAATATATTTCACTTCGGGGTCATGAATTCTCATATTGAGTAGGATATATACCAGATTCAGATGATGATTGGCAGGAAGATATTTATGCAACTTCAGAATTAGCTTCAGATCACTCTTTTGCTGCTATTACATGGAACCTGTGATATATTATTTGATTGGTTTTGATTCTTGATAAGGTGTTTGATGTTGACTGGTTCCATGATCATACCCTGCCAGTTTATTACGGTTTTTGGTTTGTAAAATAGAATTGTCTGAGTAGGATTAGTTGAGCCACCAATATGCATTCACCTTGTCCATACTGCACTTGACCATTCTTGTGCCATTTTTCCTGTGTATTATGATGTCCTATTTCTCATGAAAAAAAATATAAAATTTATTGAACCATTCTTTTAGTGAGTATATGGTATCCAATTCATTACGCAATCTAAGATCCTCAGAATGGTATGAGGGTATGTTCAACATACTGAACCTCAGAAAACTTAGTGTTACAGATTTCATCGATTTTTGTAGCTGTATGGGTTCTATCTATTACTGCTTTAAATGTACTAATATGCAAACAGCACTTTGTCCATTAAGAACTGTTCTCCTTTTTGTTGGAATATTTATTACCACAAACTGTGGAGAGTTTGACTCTTGCTTTGGTTTGTCAACTAACTGGGGAGAATTTGCCTAAGAGAAGTGAAATTCAGAAGCTCTCTGAAATCAACCACTCTTTGGAAGCATTAAATCTTATCCAGAATGCTTAGCATCAACCCATACTTATTATGGCCATATTATGGGTATCCAGTTGATCATCAAAAGATTGGGAGGTGTGACTCTTGCACATACTGCATGAAGAGAATTAATATGTACAACCAGACCTTTTAACAATACAAAGGATCCTGGAACATCTCTCAGCTTTTGCATTTTTTATGATATTTACCAAGCCTTAGTGGCTAGGTTGTAGCTTCCTTCAAGATGTTGTCTTCTTTTTTGTCTGTCCTGTGTTTAATATTGCTGGAATTTTCAATTGTAGTTGAGCAAGATATAGTTAAATGGTTTGCAGATAGTAGTTCTAGTTTTCCATATTTGTTCAGGAATATTTGTTCCTCGATATGTTAAGATTGAAATATACGTTTACAACTAAGTTCTCAATTTAGTGAAGTCCTAAGAGATGTGCGGGCCTATGCTCCCTTAGTAAGCTGGCATTGTTGGGCACACAAGATTCATCATCTTCTTGTTGTCGGCCGTTATGTTTCATATGTACTGACTGGCAAGTGGCAATAACTCCAATATAAATATACGATGGCCTTGCCATGACTTCCTCGGTGCTATTATCCCGAATATATAGAAGGGATTGCCCCAAACTGATTCTGCTGGTGTGTTTGGTTCCACGTCTTCCAGCACCTGATGCACGTTAAACAAGAAGCTACGCAGTAGTCTTCTCTCTATTTTTTTCATTTGACGTGGAAAAGCAGCTGTCATGTACATTTATAAAGCTAATCCAAACACAGATTATGTCTGATGAGGGGGGTGCATACGGAAGCTGAATCAAGATGAGAAGCTCTCCCAAAGTGAAGTGTTTATGCTGGTTATAAGCATTTCATGCCCAAGTCACGTTTGGCCTTGGGCCTCGGTATTGGAAGCACTTTGAGGGTAGGTTAGCCACTCTTTGATGTATGCTCAGATTTATCGTTATAAGATTTTCTGGGCATATACCACAGGCGTATAAGTGGCACCTTTGTTTACTGTTCTTTAACCTGAGTGAAAGACTTGGACCAATCTTTGGTTATGAAAAGTTGTTACTTTTGAAAATGAGTTGATTTAAAAAGTTGTATATTCAGATATAATTTCTGTAAGAATTTGCTTGGATGTGTTCTTAGAAGCAATCTTCGAACATAATCTAAACAAAAGTTATGTGATATGATGACCAAACATAAATACTTGGATCTCTTTTCTTCTCAGTGCTGTGCTTTCTTAGCTGTGTACTGCCTTTACGTAATAAAAGGAACACACCTAGAAACATTGCTCTTTTATTAAGTGCGTAGTGGGTTGCTTTCAATGCATTGCGCATTTAAGATCGTTAGAATCACTTTTTGGCATTAACAAAGATATCAAATTTATGATGCAACTAAAACACTTGAGTTCTACATAACTTTTGTGCAAATATTAAATATGATGTATTAGTTTCACTTGTTTGTGACGACACGATTGATTGTTTAGCGGTTTTTTAATGTTGAAACATTTACTGAGAGTCATACTGTAGAATTGACCATTCTTTTGAATATGAAAAATAAATATTATCATAAAAGCAAGTAATTTTCCTATGTTAGGTTAGACATATTGTACTAAGAAGTCCTGAGGACAATCCCAATATTCGTAATAATAAAAAATATTGAATCTCGTAATATGTAAAAATTAGTGAGAAGCGACCATCCTAGTTACATCTTTTAAATTATTAGAAAGTGTAACATAATATTTAAAGAAGATAAGACTTACAAAATTCTTAACTTAATAAATTCAAACCATTTCATAAAAGTACTTAGAATTTACAAAATTTTATATGCGGACGATAATTTTTCAATTAAATTGATCATGTTTGTCGGAATAGAAATATTTTATCATGATATTTTGTCTATAATTTTGATTTATAATTATTTTCGTATGGTGTAGAGTAATAATTTATTTATTGCATTGTTTAGGATGTTGTGTCTACGCCCAAACATCTAATCTAAATATGATCAATGTTCTTACATTTACATTTAATTCTGTTATTTGTGACCCATAGATTCTCATATAACGATAAATGATGATACTAAATATTATAAAAAATTATTGACTTGTAGTAATGCATCAATACTATCGTGTTCATATGATAATATGAATTCAACGTCTTTTCATCCCACCGTTGATTCCTAATATTCGACTATATGTCACATATAGTTCAATTTGTGTGTGGCTTTGTCTATAAACTCTCACTTTATTGATTGATAGGTCAAAGATACAAAAATGAATCCTGTCTTCATCACTCCACCGTTCACGAAATCGGTTCGGACAGAGTGATAAGGTCAGACTAAAAAATGTCAGTGCAATCACTAAATCCACTAAAATTAATTTCTTAAAAACCCATTTCTTACAAAGAACTCACTTAGGATGTTGAGTTGACTTATTCAAATTTAAAGAAAATATTATCAATTATTACATCACAATATATATTTTAATTAACATTATGATAACAATTTATCATAGATGAGAAAATTTATTATTCATTTATTAATATTTTGATAAGTTGATAAAAAAAAAATAAAAATACAATTACAAACATATATTATTATGAAATAGTAGTTATAAAATACTAATGGGACACAAACACATACACTCAGCACCACCCTCTCCATTTTTTTTATGACGGATTGACTGATTTTCTTGCATAACTCACCCCGTCATTTATATTATGTCCATCTACAATCTTTAAGGTTAAAATAGATAAATAAATTGAAAACAAAATAGAATTTGTTATGAAATAAGATCACAGTAATATATATTTTATTATTTCTAAATTATAGATAAAAAGAAAATATCCAAGTCCAAGTTTGTTATTGGGCCAAAATCTCTTGTATGACATAAGTCAAAATTTTATCTCCTTTCATCGAATCTAAAATCCCTACTATTTACACTCCCATTTATGTATCCTTCCATTCATAAAAATGATAGGTAGCATTTTTGTGGAAGAGTGAGGAAGGAGAGGCAGAAAAGATTTGTGGTGGTGGGAGAGACTCCATCATCACATGCATCACTGTCATTAAAAGGACCTTTTTGAATGCAGGAAGAGAGTACCTTCAACAAATTATGATGCTTAAAGCTGCCTCTCACATGTGTGTCCAACTTCCAAGACCCATCACTGGTTGGTTGGTTGCTCCTCATTTTCAAGCTAAGCACCTAACCATTTATAGCCCCTCACCAAAATCTTTACATCTACCCTCTGCTTTGCGTTTCTTGGCAATCATTGATTGTGAACTAAGCAAGCAATGCATGAGAGTGACTCCCTCGTGGTGACTAATGTCTCATCCTAGAGATTGGGAAGATAAATTATTATATTGTTATGATCCTAATAGTGTTGTTGTGCAACTTCTTGTCTAATTAACATCATCAAATTCATTTATGTTGAAATTAGATTTTACGAGAAGTATCAATTGAGAACATATGATCATTTGAGGAAATCGGGTTGTGATAGTAACTTCAACATTAGTCTTAGCTTTGGCACTAGCTTAAGCTTCTTTTTTCTCATCATTTGCTTCTTGATACACAGTTTTTAATGTCTTAAAAATATACTAAAACACAATCTAAAATATTTTATTATATTCATATTCTTATATTTGAAGAAAGAAAATAAAATTAAATCTGAAATCTTAGATTCATTTAAGTTGATTCCTCCTATAAATTTTCTATAATGTATAAGTAAGAATATATTAGAATTTATCCCAAATTGATACATTGAAAAATACAAACGTGATGATGTTTGAATACAATTACTTAAGATTTTGAATTAAAAATGCTTTCAATCCCTTGTATAAATTGAACTGTTGATGATGTTTCTTCTAATAAATTTCCCTTGAATCAATACAATCAATACTTTAGATGAAATGGAGAGAACTAGAAAAAAAAAAATGGATAAGGATAAGAGGGTAGATGGAGGAGTAAAGTATTTCTAAGTTAGATAGTGATGGGTGATTGTAAAGAGGGAACCTACTCTTTGGACCCTACACTTTTAACAATGATATATAGAATTAATGTTTTGGTCGAACCTGGATAAGAATTAAGATCTTACACTCAAAATTCCTAATCGCGTCCTTACTTTCTTCGTATTTACATTTAGGTGATTCGTATTTAACATGATAAAGCATAAATTGTTTCATTTTCACGTTCAAAAGTCTCCATTATAGTTGATTGGTTCAATATCTTGTGATGGTAGAGTATACTCTTCTTCCTTCCTTCACGACCATAAATAAATATTATAGCAGTATATTATTTCACTTTTTACTTCTATTCTTCCGTAACATAATTGCAATTTAGAACTTGCACCACATGAAAACAGTAACTCCCAACGATCTTACGAACTGCTTAAGAAAAATATCTTCTATGAACTCTTCATTTGCAAGTTAAAGTTCCCCAAGATTCTCAAGTAATCAAAAGTTTCCAAACAATATCCTCTGTCATTGTCTATGGTGCTTTTCTTGAGTGCCCCATTGCTTTCCTGTTATATTTCTTTTTGAGGGTAATAATGGTTGTCCTTCATCATGCATACGAACTTGATACTATTTATTATGATCACTCCATTTCATCCCTCGTAAGGACACCCATCTTTTGTTTTATTCCTGTGATTTGTGTGCTAAGCTTTCAATGTATACAAATTTTGCATATTTTCCATCTACTTTTCGTTTTCTTATGTTCAATGATGACACTTTCTCACCAACATGATCTTCATCATATTTAATTAATCCGTGTTCTAAAGGGAATATTCACATAGTCAAGTGCTTATTTTATTAGTCACTACTTGAGTTTTCTTCAGTCATTCTCTAAATTTCTGGCATGTGATCTTTTGGTCCCCTTTTACACTCTTTCATGCTTGGTTTTCAATTATCATATTTCCCTGTAAGCTTTCTTCAGTTGCCCCTTCACCCTCACACTGATCCAGCTTCTTCTTTTGAGAAAGTCTCTCTTAATCATTATGACTATATTCTTCTGATACCTACTCCTTGCCTAAACTAGGGGAAATGGTATCCCTTTCAATGTGAGATTCAGCTGATTTGATTTGTTCTTCTCAGCTACTTTTGTTGAGATTGTTAACTGTTACTAGTGCTTCAAACCTCCACAATGGCAACTACATATTTCCCACTAAGGTGGGAGAGCACTGGGGATCAATGGTGGTATGCATCCCCAATAGATTGTGCTGCTGCAAATGGTCACTATGACCTGGTTCGTGAGCTGCTTAAAATTGACAACAACCACCTCTTCAAGCTCACCTCATTGCGCCGAATTCGCCGCCTTGAAGTTGTGTGGGACGATGAAGAACAGTTCTGCGATGTTGCAAAGTGCCGTTCACAGGTGGCACAGAAGTTGCTTCTTGAGTGTGAGTCGAAGAGAGGGAAGAACAAGAACTCTCTCATCCGCGCAGGGTATGGAGGGTGGCTAATGTACACTGCTGCATCAGCTGGGGACTTGAGTTTTGTGCAACAGCTTCTTGAGAGGAACCCTTTGTTGGTGTTTGGAGAGGGGGAGTATAATGTCACTGATATCTTTTATGCTGCTTCCAGGGGTAAGAATTGTGAGGTTTTTAGGCAGGTTTTTGATTTTGCAGTTTCTCCAAGGTTTGTCACAGGGAAAGGTGGGGTTTTGGAGGAGCATGTTGGGGATATTCCTCCTGTTTACAAGTGGGAGATGAGCAATAGGGCTGTACATGCCGCTGCTAGAGGGGGTAGTGTGGAGATTTTGGAGGAGTTTCTTGCTTGTTGCTCTGATTTGTTGGCTTATAGAGATGCTCAGGGCTCTACTATATTGCATTCTGCCGCAGGCAGAGGCCAGGTTGAGGTGAGATTTTGCTGATTTTATTCTCTTCCAAGTTGAGTTTTTTAATTTATGTCCTATTTCTATGCAATAAAATGGTGAGAGTGTTGTTTTCTTTAACTTCCTTCTCATGGGCCTTTAGCAGATGACTATTCTTGTGGAGTAGTACTAGTAGGAGCCACTTTTCATCATAGTTTTGTTTGTCAAATAGGAAAACATAGAGTAAACCCTTGCTTTAGTCCCTAATATTATATAGACATTGATTGTTTTAGTCCCTAAAATTTATCTATAGTCCCTTCCATGACTTTTGTGATATGTTACATACTTTTCTTCTTCCTTTTTGTTTTCTGAAGTTAGAGACAAGTGAATTTTTAATGAAGTCAAGGATTTAAATAACCTGCTCAATTATTATACAAGGGGTTAAAGTGAGGACTAACTGTATAAAAGCATAGGAGTTTTTTTAGGTGTTGATTGACTATTAGATGCTTTAGATGCATGCTATTACAAACACCTGGCATAGAATACTCACTCTGATTACTTGAGAATGAAATAAGTCAACAAAAATGGAACAAAGATCAAATCTAAACTATGTGAGGGTACACTTGGAGGAAGATACAGTTCACTCCATTATTCCTTTACTTTTTATTCAAATAATTTGTTGTGGTGGTTTTACATTACATCTGTTAGTATTATGGTGCTTGATTTAGTCCCACATCGATTAGGATTGTGAGATGAGGTTCTCTATTTTGTTATATAAGCAACCCTATGTAAAGTTTGAGATACACACAGAAATAAAAATTACTTCCTAGTGTAGTCGTGGACGTAGGCATACATATTTTAGCCGAACCACGTTAAAATTCTTGTGTCGTTTATTTTTCTCTCCTTCATTCTTTCCTTTATTATTGTCTTGTTCCTAACAATTGGTATCAAGAGCCAATTTTCTTAGTATGCTCCGTGGTTGTAGCTTTGTCTCGATCTTCCACATCGAAAAGATTTGGTCTTTTTTCTTGGGAATCTCGGTTTAGAGAAGCAGTGGGAGCTTTCTTCGAAAGCGAGTGAGAGCAATGGCATTGGAAGAAGGAAAGGTGAGGATCGAGAAGTTCGATGGTAGTGACTTCGGGTTCCGGAAGATGCAGATGGAAGATTATCTCGTATCGAAGAAGTTGTATCTACCCTTGACAGGCGAAGCCAACCGACATGGAGCAGATCGAATGGGAGTTGTTAGATCGGCAGACGCTTGCTGTGATCCGGTCGACATTAGCCAAGAATGTTGCGTTCAACATCATGAACGAAAAGACAACCGTAGATTTGATGCGAGCGTTGTCAAATATGTATGAGAAGCCCTCTGCAGCCAATAAAGTGCATTTGATTCGCAGGCTAGTCAACCTCAAAATGGGTGAAGGTAACTCGGTTACTAATCATATTAGTGAATTTAATGCAATTATTGCGCAGTTGACATCAGTGCGAGATAATATTTGATGATGAGGTGAAAACATTAATTTTATTATCATCTCTACCGGAAAGTTGGGGTGCAAGCTATTCATCGCAGTAAGTAATTCCGCAAGCAATAACAAGTTGAAGCTTGATAACATCCGTGACTTGATCTTAAGCGAAGATGTTCGCAGGAAAAATTCGATAGAATCTTTCGGTTCTAATTCGAGTTCAACGATTGAGTACCGAAACTAGAGGAAGAAGTCGCCGAAAGGTCGTAATCAAGGCCGAGGCGGATCAAAATCCGAGAGGAGATCACAAGCAAAAGTCCGGAATGATATCACTTGTTGGAATTGTCGGAAAAAGGGCCACTTTTCAAATCGAGTGTAGGGCTCCAAAGAAGGACAACAACAACAACAAGAAGCAAGATGATGATCAATCAGCAAATGCAAAGAATCGATGAAGTTGAAGATGCACTCGTTATGTAGTTTAGATAATTCTATTGACTCATGGATTATGGACTCAAGTGCGTCATTTCATACTACACCTTCCTTAGAACTATTATCTAACTATGTTTCGGAAAGTTTGGGAAGGTCTACCTTGCAGATGGAAAATCTCTTGATATCATAGGAAGAGGTGATATTAACATCGGAACCTCTAATGGAAACGTGTGGACTTTGAATAATGTCGACATATTCCAACCTTAAAGAGAAACTTAATATCTATAGGGCGGTTGGATGATGAGGGACATTACACCACTTTTGGAGATGGACATTGGAAGGTAATGAAAGGTAATCTTGTTGTTGCTCGTGCAAAGAAGCAAGGATCTCTCTACATGATTGCAGATGAGGATATGATATCGGTTGCGAAGTTGGCAACAATTCCTCCTTATGGCATCGAGGCTTGGGCATATGAGTGAGAAAGGAATGAAGCTCATGATATCAAAAGGTAAAATACCTAACGTGAAGCATGTTGACGTTGGACCTTGCGAACATTGTATCTTTGGAAAGCGTAAAAATGTTAGCTTCTCAAAAACAAGTAAGTCGTCTAAAGTTGAAAGACTAGAACTAGTGCATACGGATGTTCGGGGCCAGCTTCAGTGAAATCCCTTGGAGGTTCACAATATTATGTAACCTTCATTGATGACTCTACAAGAAAGGTATGGGTTTATTTTCTTAAAAATAAATCGATGTGTTTTCTCGTGTTTAAAAGGTGGAAAAAGGAGGTTGAGACTCAAACAGGTTTAAAGGTCAAATGTTTGAAGTCTCGATAATGGTGGAGAATATGACAAGTAGTCAATTCAAGGAGTTTTGTTCGGAGAATGGGATCGGAATGATCAAGACAGCTCCAGGAACACCAGAACAAAACGGTGTGGCGTAAAGAATGAACAGAACCTTGAATGAGAGAGCAAGATGTATGAGAATCCAGTTAGGATTACCCAAGGTATTTTGGGCGGATGCAATAAACACAGCAGCCTATCTCATAAACAGAGGACCATCAGTTCCTTTAGACTATAAGTTACCCGAAGAAGTATGGTCTGGAAAAGAGGTAAATCTTTCACATCCGAAAGTTTTTGGTTGTGCTTCATATGTTATGTTAGACTCTAATAGTAGAGATAAATTGGACCCTAAGGCAAAACGTTGTTATTTCATTGGTTATGGATCTGACATGTTTGGCTACGTGTTTTGGGATGACCAAAACAAGAAAATTATCGAAGTAGAAATGTTACTTTTAATGAAAACATGTTCTATAGAGACAGGATTGCAGAATCCGCAAATGTAAATAAACAGACTAGAGCAAGTATCATTAGAAGAAATTTCAGAAAGTGATGTAGTCAACCGAAGGCGTAATATACAAGTAGAGCCTATGTCGAGTCTCGAGACGTAACTCGAACAAATAGTAGAGTCAGCAACTCCTGAAATCTTGGTTAGAAGATCTAGCAGAACAATTGTAGCACCACAAAGGTATTCCCCTTCATTGCATTATTTGTTGTTGATCGATGTCGGTGAGCCGTAGCATTTTGTCGAGGCTATGCAGGGAGATGAATCTATTAAGTGGGAGCTAGCAATGGAAGATGAGATAAAGTCCCTTCAGAAGAATAAAACATGGTCTTTAACCAAGCTACCGGAAGGAAAGAAAGTTTTGCAAAACAGGTGGGTCTATAGGTTGAAAGAAGAACCAGATGGCGACAAAAGATATAAGGCTAGACTCGTAGTGAAAGGGTTCCAACAAAGACAAGGAATTGACTTCATAGAAATTTTCTCTCCGTTGTCAAGATGACTACCATCGAGTTATCTTGAGTATAGTAGAGCTGCAGAAAATCTTCATTTGGAGCAGCTTAGATGTCAAAACCGCATTCTTACATGGGGATCTTGAAGAGGAAATTTTTATGACACGACCAAAAGGTTTTGAAGTACAAGGCGGAGAAAATCTTGTATGCAAGCTTCATAAAAGTTTGTACGGATTAAAACAAGCGCCGAGACAATGGTACAAGAAGTTTAATGAGTTTATGAGAAACTCAGGATTTCGCAGATGTGAAGAAGATCACCGTTGTTATGTGAAGAAATATGTTGATAGCTATATCATTCTTGCCTTATATGTTGACGACATGTTGATTGTTGGAGCTAATATGGCGGAAATTGACAAGTTGAAGAAACAATTGTCAGAGAGCTTTGAAATGAAGGATCTTGGTCCAGCCAAGCAAATTCTTGGTATGAGAATCTCCCGAGATAGAGATAAAGGTATTTTGAACTTATCTCAAGAAAAATATATAGAAAAATTGCTTAGCAGATTCAATGTTGGGAATGCTAAAACCAGGAATACACCTTTGGGAACTCACTTAAAGTTTTCAAAGAGGCAATCTTCTCAAACGAAGAAGAAGAAAGTCACATGTCTAAAGTGCCATATGCATCTCGAGTAGGAAGCTTGATGTATGCTATGGTTTGCACCGGACCGGACATAGCACATGCAAGTGGGAGTTGTGAGCAGATTTCTATCAAATCCCGGAAAGGAGCATTGGGAAGGAGTGAAGTGGATATTCAGATATTTGAAAGACACTTCAAAGATGCATTTGTCTTTCAAGAGAAGTAATCTCATTTTACAGGGGTTTTCCGATGCGAGACTTGGGAGGTGATCTTGACGGTAGAAAGAGCACAACGAGGTTATATTTTTACATTGGGTGGTACAGCTATCGGTTGGAAGTCTAAACTTCAAGGAAGGGTCTCTCTCTCAACCACTGAAGCGAGTATGTAGCTATCTCGGAAGCGGCAAAGGAGATGATATGGTTGAAGAACCTTCTAAAAGAATTAGGAAGAGAACAAGATGGTTCTCCGTTGTTTAGTGACGATCAAAGTGCTATTTGTCTTGCTAAAAATCCAATCCTTCATTCCGGATGTAAGCACATTGAATTGAAGTATCATTTTATCGAAACCCGATAAATGATGGAGACTTGAGTTTGTTGAAGATTCCAGTGCGAGAGAATCCCGCCGATATGTTGACCAAGACTGTTACAACAACTAAGTTGAGGCTTTGCATTGCCTCAACTGGCCTTCGAGCAAATTGATGATGAAGGCACTACACTAGGTGGTAACGTAAATCAAACTCCAAGTGGGAGAATTGTTAGTATTATGGTGCTTGATTTAGTCCCACATCGATTAGGATTGTGAGATGAGGTTCTCTATTTTGTTATATAAGCAACCCTATGTAAAGTTTGAGATACACACAGAAATAAAAATTACTTCCTAGTGTAGTCGTGGACGTAGGCATACATATTTTAGCCGAACCACGTTAAAATTCTTGTGTCGTTTATTTTTCTCTCCTTCATTCTTTCCTTTATTATTGTCTTGTTCCTAACAACATCAACCCTTCATGGCACTTGTGCAGGTGATTAAATATCTCACATCATCCTTTGACATAATAAACTCCACAGACCATCAGGGAAACACTGCTTTGCATGTGGCTGCTTACAGGGGGCAATTAGCTGCAGTTGAGGCTCTAGTTTCCGCATCTCCTACATTGATCTCTCAGAGAAACAATGCGGGAGACACTTTCCTCCATAAGGCTGTGTCTGGTTTTCAGTCAACCTCATTCAGAAGGTTGGACAGACAGGTTGAACTTTTGAGACAGTTAGTAAGTTGCAAAAAGTTTCACATAGAGGAAGTCATAAATGTAAAGAACACTGATGGAAGAACTGCACTCCACATTGGCACAATAGGGAAAATCCACATTGATCTTGTTAAGCTCTTGATGACAGCTCCATCAATCAATGTGAATGTGAGTGATGTTAATGGCATGACCCCACTTGATTACCTTAAGCAGAGTCCAAACACAGCAGCGTCAAATGTACTGATCAGGAAGTTGATTGCAGCTGGGGGAATGTTCCACAATCAAGGCTATAGTTCAAGAAAATCCACAGCTACACACATGAAAATGCATAGTTTTGGAGGCAGTCCTGGAACATCATTTAGAATCTCGGACACTCAGATATTTTTGTACACGGGAATTGAGAATGCGTCAGATGCTAGTACTGATCAGGGAAGTGCAGGAATGAGTTCATCTTCATCAGACCATACTGCATATGACTCAGCAGCAGAGAACAGACCCTCCACAACAAGCAAAAGGCCATCGGTGGCCGCTGGGTTGAAACGAGTCCTTCAGTGGCCACTGGTGAAGGACAAGAAAGCTGAGGGGATCAGGAAATCAATGGATGAGGGTTCAGTGGACTCATGCAGGAAATGGGACATCACAGATGAAATTCCAACTCCACTCAGACAAAAATTCTTTAGGCATTCAGCACTTCCTAACAACAAAAGGAACCTATCTGTGAGGAGTTACCAGTCAAGTCCAAATGCTAAGAAGAGATTTGCTTCAGGACTGGTACATGTGAAGGTTTCAAGAAGATCAAGCTCTAGCTCATTTTCTATATCATCATTGTCATCACCTAGATCAATAGATAAGCTAAAAGGATTTTGTGTTGACAATGATGTAGCTGGACCATCTTGCACAAGTCACCAAAATGATAAATCAACAAATTCAGGAAAGAGAGTTTCTGTGAGCAAAAGGGTAAGGGGCAATTATTTCTGTTTTTCAAAAGCCTCAGTAGACAGGGAGCAAGAAAGCCATTGTTACAAGGACCATGACTAATTGGATGAAATAAGCTTATTTCTGAACTGGTTACTGTCAAATACAGAAGATCAAAAGGTCCATCTCAAAGATATGAGGGCTTCCAGTGCAACATTGTTTGCAAGTTTTATAGATAGTATGTGATGAATTAAGATTTGTTAATCCTCACTCAGCTCTACTTGTTATCGAATTATTCCTTTGTTAAAACATGCTTCTTAACATATTGGCATCAAATCAACAAACTTTTTTTTTTGGATCTGATTTCATAAATTGCGTTAAATCCTTCGTGGCCCTGCTAATATTGTAATGTATACTTACAATTGAAGTAGCATTCTAAAGGTAAAATTAATAAAAGATTATCAATATAATGGTACAACTAAACTAATGTATTATATTCTGTAATGCACTATTGTTCTAATAATTAATATACATAATCTATGCATTAATGTTAATTATATGATGTACATGCTAATTATAAGATATTCTAAAATAATAGGTGAAATTGAAGAATCCACTCCTTGGTAAAATGATAGTGTGATATGCACATTGGCATGTTGACAAAGTCAAGTCAACCCTATTGCAGTCAGTACAAAGATAAAATCAAACATCTTACTGAAAAGGAATTAAAATATAAGCACTTTGTTATGTTCATTTGCACAAATTCAAATATGATTTAGTTTTATTTTTAATTTTAAAGATGATTTTAAAAAATTATATAATCTAAATAGAATAATATAAATTATCATGAAAATTCGTGATAAAATTAAAAAATAATTTAATAATTATACAATGATAAAAATAAATATTTTAATATAATTATCGATAAAATTATTGGCATCGTTAATAAAAATAAAAATAAACCATAATAGAAAATATTATTTGTTAATTTTAATTTTTAAAATTAAAGAAAACTAAAAAAAACATACTTTAAAAATTATTTTAACATCATATATTTATCAAAAAGTTTTTTAGTTTTTAAAAACTAAAATTCTGGAAAATTTTTTAAATAAACAAAATCCAAAGTTTATTTTGGAAGTCCACTTTTTCATGCTTTGGTTTTTTGGAGTAATGGTATTGTAAGTTGACTTAATTGGCAATTGATTTTTCAGTTTAAAAGTTTTGTGTATTTTGCAATAAATGCAAAATTAAACAGTTAAAAGTGTTTTAATATCATCTCGGTATTAATTATTTAAGACAATTATAAGTTGTTTTTATAATAGTTTATAAATGATATTTAATTTTAGAAATTATTTAAAAAAAATTATATTATAATAATTTTTTATACAATAAATTGAAAGTATATGATTACATATAAGACAATTATTTTTAAATTTAAAATAATATTAAAAAACAATTATTGAAATAAGTAATTATAATTTAGTATTGAATATTCTTATATTATTGTTTTTCAAAATAATACAACCTAAGTAGAAACCATTCGAGTACAAATATCTTATCTTCACCATACTTTAATTTTTATTTTTACAATTAGATATTAGATGATTGATATGTTTTTCTTTTTCAATTATTTATTATATATTTTTAAAAATAGAATTAATGCTTTTTTTGCTTTAAAAATCAATTTAGTGGAGGATATTAGACAAATATTTAAGAAACTTTAAAAGTTTATGCGTTTAATTTTTCAATATTTTTTACTATTTTGTATAAATTTATCAATTTTAATAAAATATAATATTTGTTCATGTTTTTCTAGATTTTATATAAAAAGTATAAATAATTTAAAATAATAAAATTTTATTAATATAAATATTGATATAATAAATAAGAAAGTTACACATATATTATTTTTATATATATATATATATATATATATATATGTAACTTCATTTTTGATGAGTGATTTTCATATATTATTATATATACTCATTTAATATTTTATTAAAAAATTACTTTTGAAATAAAATATTCTAATAAAAATAATTTATCTGCCAATCAATAAATACAAATTATTTCATCACTGGAAATCTACTTATCCATTTTTTTCATAAATAGTTCTAGCTCGAAACAAACAAGAGCTAAATCTGATCTAATGTTTCATTGATGAACAAAGTTTAAAAATAAGCCAATATAAAGATATTTTGATGTAGAATGTGACTCTTATTCTTTTGATTTTTATATTTTATCAGTAAAGAAAATAAATCAAATCTCTTTGTCCAGAAAACATTACTTTATAGTAGCCCATTTTGGACCGAATAATCTTAGGTTTTGAAAGATGATAAATAGAGGGAGTTAATCATTGACAAATATTGAAGCACAAAACTTCTGGGTAGGTGCTGTGGTTTTTGACTACTTAATTAAAACCATTGATCGTGATTTAGATTTGACTACCCACATGATCACTTCATAAATTTCTACGATGAGTGAAGGCTAACAACTAGATTGATGAACTGGATATTGAGAAGAGAATGAAAGCAAGTCAACAACATGTTCTTGACACAATATTTATCACCAAAATAGGGTTCCCCAACATGGCAAAAGTTCAAAACTTTGACTAGAGGAATTAATGCATCAAAGACAAGACAGATGGATCACTACTGTAACATGGTGTATCTAGTTCCTTACAGTCAAACGATCTTTATTACGAGTTTAAACTAATATAATTTTTATTTGACGGAGGACATTTAAAAATTAAAATAATCTTATATATTGGAGCAACTTTGACCTACCTTACTTCAAATTCCTTAGTTAGAAGGAACGAATTAATATGACAGCTATGTATGCTTACATTGCACTTGTATGCAGAACGTTGCTTGCATGGAAAAAAGGTTCCACTTGAACATTTTTATACCCAAAAGAAGGTTCCTAACATTGTGTATGTCAGAAGAATCTTATGATAATTTTATATGATATTAATTCCGTTTGTAGTTTTGATTAGGGTCTCAAACAATTCTTAGTAATTTAACTCTTTTTAGGGTTTGTATGTTCTTGAGTGTTTATATAAAACATCTTATAAAATTTGTTTAAATATTTGAATTCAATAGCCTTTAAAAATATATAGGTTTACTTAACATATATAATATTTTAATGATATATATTTTATAAGTAATTCATCGTGTTTATTGTTGATTGATTTTTTTTTTAATATCAGACAAAGAAAGTTATTAAAAAAATTATATATATTTTTAATTAAATAATTAAGCAATCATCACTTTTATATAGATTGTTAAGCAATCATCACTTTTTTTCAAGACTTTCACACCTGATTAATCATATTAAAATCTTAAAATAAAAAGCAATGTTTATTAGAAAATAATAATCATTCACTGGTAGGCACATATCATTGTCTTTCTCTAAGTTATTTAGTGTTTGTTATATACGTTTATTAAAAATTAACTTAATATATGCATAATAATAAGTGAGATTAGATTAGTAAAGGTAAGAGAAGGAGTAGAGGTATAGAGTTACCTTATTCATCATTTCACATCTACATCACCTACAACTCCCCTGCTACAATCCATACATTCATATTTCTTTATGAATTTCCCTAGTTCTAGCCCTAAGTCACATCCTACTAGACATCCTTATATCATCATTCGACACCTAACATACTAGATTTTGCATCTATTGATTCTTCATATATAGCTTCATCCCATATTAAACCATTTTATACCTTTAGGCGTAGATGAAATCATTTTGGGCCCCGGTTGAAATTTTTTCAACATCACTTGTAGTATTTATGTTAAAGTCGTAACTTGTTCTACTTTTATAATTTTACAGGTTTTATTCCTCAATTTAGTCCACATGTGAAATTTCAATGATAATTATAGATAAATTTAGAAAAATTTGGACCGAAAAAGATTGGAAAGATAGAACAAATATTAATGTCCATATTAAGAATTTCTTTTACAGTTCATTAAGTATAAGATATTTTATGATGCTAGTGTGTCGTTCAGTTTTATTTTATATTGTTTACAAATCATATTGCAACTTACTTTGCTTATTTTCAGAAACAAATTACAAATATCACTCCAAGTGTTAAATGACATTACATATTATGAGTGAATGAAGACCTGTTTTCGAACCGTTTGAAAAATTAAGAGTATTATTTTCTTCCCGGAAGAGTTAAGTTTGTTTTATGAACAAATTACTCAATTTATAATTAATATTTCTTTCAGTCAAATATTTGTACAAGTTTAACTTCCAACACAAGAAAAAAAAATGACAATCACTAATCAATAGTTATTATGGTTTTCGTATAGTATCTATTTTAACATTGTACATTTAAAAAAAAAAAACTATGTGGTTTGTTATCTTATTGGATACAAAGCATTGTATTTGTATGCAAAACATTCGCTGCATTATGTTTTTTTAATTTAAATTTTATGCTTAAAATTTTAAAAGATAAGACAAATATTTAAGTTATTAATATTATATTAATTTAGTTATAATTACAAATTAAAATTGTTATAAATACCACATTTCAGTCTTTATAAATTATAATAAAAAAATTGTCACAAAAAATAATAATGATCTTTCTTAAAGTGAGTTCAAGCAAGAATGGTCTCGTTTTAAGTGAAAGTTGAGTATTTTATTGTTTTAAAGTAGACATTTTTTTTGGAGCAAAACATTATAAATAGATAGTTAAAGTATGTTAATTAGAAAACTTAATACTTCAAACTTTATTATCTTAAAATTGCTATTTAGAAAAAATCTCTAATTTCTATTTAAATTTCTTTCTCTTTCTAATCTTTTTTCTAAATTCAAATACACTATAGTGTTATTAGAGTAGAGTGAAATATTAATTTTTATCAAAATTTTCGTTTGAGTAAATTTTTCTTTATCCATTTTTAGTGTATTTTATATGTAAATTTAAGAAGTTTACATATAGGCATGCATTATATGAGTTTTACGTGGTTATGTGTTTTGATTTTAATTGAGTTTGAATATGAGTTTATTTAGAATAATGATGTATAAAAGGATGTGTATGAAGTATAAAGGTAAAATAACTATATTTAAACTAGGTGTAACATGTTTTAGAATGAAATTATGTGATAAGGTCA